AAAGCAAGGTGGAAAACTTGGTTGACAAATTTGCCATATAACAGACTGAAGTCTCCTTCCAAATTAGTTTATTTTAAAACTTGACTTAATGGCTGTCATTCCTTAACATATCTCAAAAGACAAGAAGACCTACTAGAAAGAATTGCATGGGCTTAGGGCTCACCAGATGAAACTGCTCAATTCAAAATATGTACATACAAATTATGCAAAGGTTTTAACTGAAATTTGACTGGTTAAATTTCCATTTTCTTTGAAGTCCATCAGTCGTCCTTACAAACCAATTAAATAGCGTCAAGGAATAGCTCAGAAGTCACTTGTCAGTTATTTTACGTGCAATGTACTTGCTCATACATGAAACAGAAAGGTCGACAGACTGTTGTCATGGAATAAAATTAAGGCAGGGTTGTGAATGACAGGAGAAAGGGAAAGACCTGCAATCTGCCTGCAAAGAGGAGGGCTTGCAGGTATGTTCTTGGGTAAATAAATCAGTTGGCAGCTGATGGAGAGATCTCTCTGGGTGTATGAGTTAGCCAACTAGTAATATCAAAATCACAATTAGGAGTGGGTAGTTTTTTGTTTTTTTTTTTTTTAATTCCTAACCCTGATGCCGAGAAGCATAGGAGCTTGCCGCCTCTGTGTGACCTGGTCCAGGTCCCCTCCCTTAGCACCTGCCCTTCCTGGACCAGACCGACAGCCACTAACCTCCCAAGAAAGCCTCCATGTTTGGTTACCCAGCTACCCCTCGGGAAGGTTTCCCCAAGCAGTGAGAAAACTTCACTTCTAAGTTGGGTGTGCAGATACGAGCTGTTAACAGCAACACACATCATTTTTGGCAACAAAATCACATAATGTTGGAAAGTTTTCCAAACATCTATTTTCAAAGGTGCGGCCTCCATGGGATAAACTTCTTCCGAAAGCCAAACGCTCTCTCCCTCGCCGCTAAAGCAGCACCTTCGTCTTGAAGGAACCCATGAAGTCTGTTTGTTTTCGTGAGACTTCCTCCTCAGTAGCATCCTAATGACAGCTACTTGTCATCACAGACAAGAAGAGGAAATGTGGGGCGCTCTTTGTGAAGGAAAACAGCCACTTTCTTTTGAGCTCGACAACTCTTCTGAGGGCTTCCTCACAGAAGGTCTGTGACCTCTGTGGCACACGAGGGGTTCGAGGTCACTCCTCCTCTCATCACAAAACTCCAAAAAAGACTCTCCTAGCAGCCATGTCTTCCTACCAATTCAGCCAGGGGATGGCATCTGGCAGCAGCCTGCTCAAGCCACCCTGTCCTTGGCGCAGGCTGCATGAGGGTCACCAATAGCCAACGTCCTCCGCAGGGGGGAATTAGTCTTTCCTTCCCCACTGATGCCAGGGTTGGTCCTGTGATGTATCCCCACCCCTCAAAAAATGGAATGGCAGTAATGTTTGTCACCTTCTTTTCTTTTTTAATCTTTTCCATTTTTTAGTTGTAGTTTGTTTGTTTGTTTGTTTRTTTATTATGTGGTGCTGAGGATCGAACCCAGGGCCTCACAGGTGCTAGGTGAATGCTCTACCACTGAGCCACAACCCCAGCCCATGTTTGTCACTTTTGATGGGAGGATTTATGAGATAGCAGACAGTTCCCAATCTCTCCTTGTCTCTACCACTCCAACTGGCAATGCACTATCAGCCTCAGTCCAGAACCAAGATGACTCGGACTAGCATAAGTATGTCTCAAACATTGCATGGGACATACTTATGCTACATTCTCAGTATGTTTCTCACCCTAATTTTTTTTTCACTGTTCATCTGAAATTCAGATTTAACTTAGTCGCTTGTATCTTACCTGTAAACTTTAGCTGTAAGCTTCTGACATTTTGAGATCATTTGTTCCAGAGGCATACCAAATCTCACTTGACTGATAGACCATGGCCCAAGGAAGGGCTCCTGTGTTAATCTTATGTTTAGTAAACCTTAAATTTGCCGTCATTTGCAGACTTTAAAAGATGTTATAGTTCTTCTTGCATCCAAAGGATCATTCTAGGAGACCCTGTTGCCAAGGTGGTAGTTACAGACCAAGGTCCGCTAGAACTAGCATCTCACCAAACAAGGCAGATTCCTTAGCAGCACCCCAAAGATACTGATTTAGAATCTGCTGGTGGCTGGAAGATCTGCCTCTTAAACAGGTGGTTATGAAACAAATTAACTGTGGACTATACTTGCAATGAAACGTTTTAGAAGGCTGCCTGAATAGGAAACCTAAGAACTAGTCCTGGCTTCGCTACTTACTAGTTTTGTACAATGTTCAGCCAGTCAGTTCAGATTGACTGGGATTTTGCCCAAATCATCCTGCATGCTGGGAGGAATTCTACAAACTGAGAAGTCTAACCTACAAATTGTTTTAGAATAGAACAAACTGTATGTCAATACTGACTTTAATAATTAATGTCATTGACAGTGCAATGTTTTAGAGTTACTTCATTAGACAGTCTTAGCTTTGATTTTGCCGATTAAAAAATATTTTGGAGTCAACAACATTGTTTTTATGTCTCATACATTTTGATAAGCATTTTTAAAGCCTGTCAGCCCTAGTCATTTTCCCTACATTGCCTAAGGGCTAAAACAGTTCTGTCAGCTGCTGCTGTGCTTGGTGTTGGTGAAACGGAGATGATCAGACAGGACACCCGCCTTTGAGCTCACAGGCAGCAAGAGAGGCAGATACAAACAGGTAATTTTTCTGTAATATGACAAGTGCAGGATAAAGCCATACAAGTGAAGCGAACAAAAAAAAAAAAAAAAAAGGACCCTGAGGGTTAAGTCTGGAGAGGTGTGAGGAGAGACTTATTAGAGATGATACCTGAATCTTGAGGATGGGTAGGAATAAGCCAGGTAAGGCAGGGAAAGGTATTCTACAGCAGAGGAAAAGCTCCTGTGGAGCTTGTGGAACTAGTTGTCGGAGCAGCCATTCTGGACAGCTCATTAACAAACACCTAGTAGGCAGTGAGGGCAGCAGGCAAGCACTTGAGCACCCTGGCTAGGTCCCAGAACCAGTGCAACTGACAGGGCATAGATGAAGGAGGCCATCCCTCCTGAGCTGGGGGTGGGATATCCTGATATGATATAAAAAGGAAGATGAACGAGGGTCTTCAAATTTGAAATTGTGGAATAAATGTTTTAGTAATTTACTTTAGAAACAATAATGACTTTTAAAAAACATAGCATGTTAGAGTATTTCAATATAGAAAAAGAAAAACATGCCTTGGAGTTAGAAGGCTGTTCAAACTTTATGTAACCCAGATGTGCCCAGTTTCTGCAGGCCTCAGGGATCACCCTCCTTTACTAAATTAGCCCCAGCCTGTGGGTGGCTGCAGACTCAGCCCCGGGCCAGGCATCCCTCAAGTAGCTCCTGAGGGGTGAGGCCTTCATCTCCCTCAGCTTCTCCCCCGCTGCAAGTCTTCCTTTTTCTGTGCAAGATCTTCATTCTGTCTCACTCCTCTCTGGCTTTTCACCAGTGGTTTCCAGCCCATCTTCCCACCAGCCAATATAAACAAGGATCCAGGAACTCCCTTTTCCAGGCATGCACAAATTTGAGTTCTGAGAAAAGAATTCCTGCTACCTCACTTCTTACATAGAATTACACAACAAAATTGAAATATTATCAAAAGCTAAATTACATACGTGCAAAAGCTTAATAAAATTATAGTTACAAAATGAAAGAAAATAGGGGAGACTTGATAGAACAAAAATTTAATCACTCCATCTTTCCATTCAGATCTGTTTTTGTGGACAAAGACATAGAAATAGATGTTTTTGAGACTGGGATCATAATGCATATTTACCTTTACAAATTTGACTTATTTAATGTGATATGTACAATTTATAATTTGAATATTTTTGAAAAATGAGGTAATGATTGCATAGGTTTTATTAGGTACCCAAAATAAGTTTAACCATCCCGTTTTAGATATGAGTTCAACATTTTACTGAATAATGTATAACTTGCACAAAAAAATTGACAGCAAAATAGAACGAATGATTGTAAAAATTAAAATCAATACATGTTAAATAGCTCCAAAATATTTTGTCAAATCGTATATTAATCCATAATTTTTTGTTACATTTGAAAACAAAGTAAGTTAGGCTTGCTCATTCACAAGGATTCCTGAAGATGCACACTATTAGTCAAATGTAAATTACAAACTAAGGCATACTTCAAAGCAAATTTAACTTAAAAAAACTTTCATTACTGAAAAACCGATCAAGATTTGCCAAATTTTTGAGACGTTTCGCTGTTTCATATTAGTTGATTCGTCCGAAAGAGTCCAGGCTCTCCAAGATTTAAACAACCCGAGCTATTTCTCCACCCCCTTGCTACTCTAGGAACTGGCAGCACCTCCAGGGAGCTCCCTCCCGGAGCCACCAAGTCGGAACGTGCACGCCCGCTGGAAGCCCYGGTGTTCCCAGGCGCTCTGACGTCGGAGGCTCGGCTCACGCCGGGGTTCTCAGCAGACGCTCCCTGCGCAGCTAAGCAGTTTACCACAGGTGCTGCCAGCCCAGAGTCCGCCCGGCGCCCCAAGGCCCGYGAGCCCCCGCCCCTGCACTCCTGCATTGTGATGCAGGAAGAACGAGCCGCCGCAGGGACCCGGGTTGCAGCGGACCGGCGCACCTGGAGGCGCCTCTCCCTTCTGGGCCTCGGCGTGCACCGCAGGCCGGGGAGGGAGCGTGCTGACGCCGCTAACTCTCAAAACCCTTTAGGGCAGTTCACCTCCCACGCAGAGAGGACCTCCGGACTCGGACTCGGTCCAAGCTCCGGCACCAAGAACTCTATGCCAACAAAGACTAGCGGCGTGCGAGGGGTGGAGCTTGGGCGGCAAATACCGCGAGAAGTGGTCTCCCGGAGCGGCTTTGACAGGCGCGCCGCCGCTCTCGCCCCCGGAGGCGGTCTCCGCAGCAGGAGGCGGGGCCGAGCCTCTGTTGCAGAGATCGCGAGACTTGGCCGCGTCACCGCAAGCCTTCCTGTCAGGGGCCGGAAGCGCTCTTCGCRGAGCGTCTCCTGCACCTGGTCGGCTGAGCTGCTGCGCCCGTGGGCCCGGTTCCCGGTGCCGCCCCTTGGCTGCCGCTGGGCCGCGCCTGCCCTGGGCCGCAGTGATGGAGGACCTCAAGGAGGCCGGCGCCGAGGCTCCGCCGGCGGGGACCGGTGCTCGAGGCGGGCTGAGCCTCCTGTCCCAGGGAGATTCCGAGGAACCTTGCGCGCAGGTAAGTCCCCCGCGGGGCCGCACCTGCCCGGGCTCCGCGGGCCGCGCGGCCAGGGACGCTGTCACGGGCCCCGCAGCCTCCGGCGCCGCCTCCACGCCCCCGTCACCTCCGAGGCGCGAAGCGGAGGCCGCTGCCCGTCCCAGGCGTGCAGGTCGAGAGCCTCAGCCGTCTCGCTTCCCCCCGGCGGCCGCCGCCACAGCGCGCTCCGCCATCTCCGCCCCGGAGCACCCGGCGTGAGAGTGGGTCCGAGCGGCGGCGCGGGTGCGCCGGAGCCCGGGGGGCGGCGGGAGGGTGCGCCAGGGCTCGCCGGACCCGCGCCGGGCGGGTCTCCGAGGGCGGGCCGGTGCCGCGCTCCTGTGGGGACCGACGGGCAGTTGGCCCTGGCTGCTAGCCAAAGAGGCCCTGAAATCACCCGAAACCACTCGGTAGGCGGCGCGCAGTGTGGACACGAGCTGTTTCTCGGACCCGGGGGGCGGCGTCGAGGGATCCTGCGGGGACCCCCAGGGCGCTCTTCAGTCTCCTGGTCTCTGCTTCTGGGTTTTACATAAGTACATTGAACCAGGCGGGCTGGTCGGCCTGCTTCCCGGCTGAAGACCGTAGCCGTCGTGCTCCTTGATGCATCCGTCTTCCTTTCCTCTAAAACTATTGAAGAAGAGCTAGTAAATATGATCATGTGTGCCAAAATGTATCGTTAGTGACAGGCGACACGCATTCCCGGTGAAGCTTGAGGTAGTGAGTTCCTGTTTTCTTTTTATAAAGCTGAGATTTTCATTCCTAAGAGTGTTCATTATAGTGTCATTCAATATGTTAATTAGGGATCAGCTTTATTTCTTGGAGGCAATGAAGTGAAGAGCCGAGCTGTGGTGAAATATTCTTCCGCCCCTCCTCGAACAGCATTTGCACGCCTGGAAGAGAAGACAGACTTGAAACTCCCACCTGCCAACTGGTTACGAGAGAGTGCCAAACTAGGGCCAGCAGGAACTACCATTCTTGGCAATAGTAAGAAAAGCAAGCCGTTTTCAAGGTAAATATTAATAGATGGCATTTTTAACCTACCCCTTTACCCCACTTAAAACTCTTAATACTTTCCAGTTTAATTTGTGATGTACATTAACTTGCTGGGATTTTTTTCTTTTTCCCAAAGATCACATTTGACTTTCAAAGTTTTTTCTCCCCTGCAGAATATGTAATAATATGAAGATACCAATTTCATGTGTTCCTTTCATGTCTGCATCATGTTATTAACATATATTGAATTTTTTACTGAAAATTGACCATTTTATTTTTAGCTAATTTGCTRACTTTTGAATGTGAAAACAAAACAAATCAGGGTGGTACATGAGAAGGAAACTCTTACCGTGGTCTGATCTGTTCTTTGGAGTTTTTCTTTGAATTATGGTATATTGTGTAGATTAGAAAAACCTGATGTAAAATTCCAGCATATTGGGTGACCTACACCTTTGACTCTGAACCCGAGAATTCTGCTAGTGGTATTTAAAAATGAGAGAATGGCCCGGCATCTTAMAGAGAAAAATGTACTTATGTCTCTATTCTTGTAGGCCATTTAATATGTGGGGTCCTTACTGCCTCAGAAAGGAATAGTTATGTATTCAAATTGTTTATTTCTGGCATTTATTCTAGCAAAAACCTGKAAATGACTCAAATATCTTCTTTTGGAAGAAAGCTTAATAGATTATATTGTTATGAGATGATTTAAATAATTATATTGACTGTAGAAACACAGTGCTAGGTATTTTATGTTTATCTCATTTAATGCTCATAGCAATCTTTTGAACTAGATACTGTGAAGTATTTTGCATGTGAGAAAATAAGCTAAGAAAGTTTAAGTAATTTACTTAGAGCATATGATAGATTGTAAGAGCATGCTCCAATATTAGACAGTCCTGGCTAAGTATCCTGACTGCTACTTCTCCACCTTATAGACTATAGGTGTATTTCATATGGTACCTGGAATGAGTTGGATGCACACATTTCTTATTTTTTCTCCTCGTTTCTAAATTGGTGTCAGGTGCATTTATCTCATTTTTTTTTTAACGATATCTTTCTAGAAACAGTCCAATCCTAGAAACTAAAATCATAATAAATGTTTGTTTTATCTAAAAAGAGTAAAATCTTAAAACAATTTTCTCTTGGAAGAGATTTTTTTGAGTTTCAGAGGACAAAAATAAAAATACCCACTAAGTATTTTATTCTAAATCTTTCCTAATTACTTCTTATAATTATTACTGTTTCATTAAATCTTAAGATATTTTTTATTTTGAGACACTATTTTATATATTCTGAAAAGGAAACACTAGTCAACCTACTACATGTTGATTTCAGAGATGTTAGAATGTGGAAAATGTGAATCCTAGAAGCAAGGATATTTGGTGTTCTGTTCACCTTTAACTTGTGGCCTCTTTTCCTTTGGTAGTTTTGGCATGGCATATGACTTTATTGATTCTGTGGGAAATGATGTGGATGTTGTCTCTGATTCTGAAGTAAGTTTTCTTATTGTTTAAGTGGAACTCCATGAGTATTTTATACTAGGTGTTACATATTCTGTTTCACAGTCTTGAGAAATTCCCGATGAAATGATACGATTATCTGATTTTCAGATACCTTTTTTGTTTTTAAATTATTACTCCTTACCACATGGTCTTTCTTCAAAGTGGAGGGAACAATCCCCAAAACAATGGTAGTGATATTAATACTAATATGAACTGCTATATTTTAATAATAGTAATTGAAATGGATTATATTGCATGTTACCAACTTAGAATCATATTTCCAGTAAATTCTATTGATCTTTAGTTGGCAGTTTTTTTCTGATATGCTAAAAGCTTAGGTCAGTGCAATAGTGTTATCTGTATGCACTTACCCTTGAGAAATTCTGTCTTGTAAAAATAAATCTTTGATCATCGTTTATATTAACATGTTAGCGTGACTCATAAAGTGTAGTGATTCTGGTTTTAAAGGTCTATTTTCTATGTAGCTCTTTGTGTAAATTACAGTTTGTATAACCTTGAGATGAATGAAATTGAAATTTGAAATTACAGATAACTCTAAAAAGGTCTTTCTAAATTATTTTTCCTTAATTTTTCTAAGAACATAAAAAAGCTGCTGAAGATTCCCTACAGCAAGTCCCACGTAAGCATGGCGGTGCACCGCATAGGAAGGACACTCTTATTAGATGAGCTGGATATTCAGGAACTCTTTATGAGATCATCTCAGGTAATACTTTGTGAAAGACATCCAGAAAAACATTAACATCCTAAGAGCGCTAGAAATATGATTGTGTTCCAGAGAAAGGCCAAAGTAGAAATGAAGCTGAGTACTTCAGCAATCAAAAGTTGAAAAAATTTACTGAAGATAAGAAAACTTCAGTTTAAAAAAAAAACRAAAACACAGAATGGGGAAGAAAATTATTTTGTTCATGCTGACAGCCAGGATTCTTACAAGGAAAGGAGTGAAGTTAGTGAAGAAAAAGTTCAGAAAAATACGTGAAATTATTATTTTTACATAATTATTATTATGTTTAAATTATTAAAAAAYTCTTTGTCTTCACTATAGAGATTGTCCTGAAATGTTGTTACTAGGCGATGTGAAAAATGTCTTAAAGCCTGATTTCTAAACTGTGTTGATAAACTGCTATTTTTCCTTCTTGTGTTAATGTTGGACACTTTTATAAAATATAATCACAATGTTTTAGTTTCTCCAGGCTTGTTCTCCAGTTCTATACTTAATCTTTAGTTTACTGATAGCAAGTGGTTGATGGTTCTGCTGGTTCATAGGGCTACTCTTTAACATCACTTCAGTGTTTTCCAATAAAGGAAAATGAGTGATTTAAACTGACATTTAAAATATTCTTTTAGAGAAAATAGTAGTTAAGTTCAATCTGTGTGTGCACCAGATACACAATGCTTTGGGAGATGTGAGTGAGTAAATTATAGCCCTAGTTTTCTTCAGTAGTTCACAGTTTTGATGTAAGAACACAAAGGTAGATATTTCAATGAAGTGCAAAGTAGGTTATACTTCAGGCACTCAAGAAAAGATAGAGAAGGGTTACCTCTCTGGCCTGGCCTAGGAAGGGAGGAATATGTGGGCTTCTTAAAAGAGTTAAAAGAGGCAATATGAATTGAGTCTAGAAATACACGTGTTTTGTGAGTGTGCTTATGCCAATGATATTCAACAGAGAATCGATTGTAAAAGAGTAATAGGTACATGTTAGCTTTCAGCCACTGTGACAAAATACCCAAAATATTCCGTTTAAAAAGAGGAAAGGTTTATTTTGGCTCATGGTTTCAGAGGTTTCAGTTATGACCAGCTGGCTCCTTTGCTTTGGTCCTATGGTGAGGGAGCATATTATGTTGGAGAGCACATGATGGAGGAAAGTGCTCACCTCATGGTGGCTAGGCAGCAAAGAGGGGAAAGTAGGGGCTGGTGTCCCCATGTCCTCTATAAGGGTATGTCCCAGTGACCTAACTTCCTTCCACAAGGTTCCACTCTTAAAGGTTCCATCACCTTCTAATAGTGCCACAGGCAGGGGACCAAGCCTTCAACACAGGAGCCTTTGGGGACATTCAGGATCCAAACGATAGCATAGTACCAAATTGTTTCCGCTATGTGTGTAATATTTATTTCATTTTTTTCTTACTCAGACTGGTGATTGGACATGGTTGAAAGAGTTTTATCAAAGACTGATAGATCAAAAGTGGCAGAGGAAGAAAAAGAGCAAGGAGCACTGGTACCAGAAGGCTATTCTTTCCAAGTTTTTATATTATAGGTACTTAACTACTTGTTTATTTTTACCTTAAGAAGAAAAAGGAGGGGCTGGGGTTGTGACTCACGTGCGAGGTGCTGGATTTGATCCTCAGCACCACATAAAAATAAATAAATAAGATAAAGGTATTGTGTCCAACTACAACTAAAAAAATATTTTAAAAAAAGTAAATTTTGATCTAAAATTTAATTTGAAGCTAGTAAAATTAATTTTTTTTCACTATGATGTATTTACATTTTTCATTTTAATTTTTGTTAAGAAAATACATACTTGATTACAAAGTCTGGGGTTTTTTAAAAATTCTAATTAGTTATACATGACAGCAGAATACACTTCATAGTATACAAATGGAGCACAATTTTTCACTTCTGGTTGTACACGAAGGAGAGTCACACCATTTGTGAAATCATACATGTACTTAGGGTAATGATGTCCATCTCTTCCACCATCTTTTATAAATGGTAGATTGTAACATAAAGTTAACTTTGTCAAAAGTCGTTTTTATTTTGTTTTTTTAATTTCTGATTTGGGCAGTATCAATGGTGATGGAGCAGCTCAGCCTGTCCCTTCAGCTGCAGAACAACAGGAATCATCAAGTTCTGATCAGACACATGACTCAGAAGGGGCTTCATGGCCTGCTCCCTTTGAAATGCCTTCTTCAGTTTCTGAAGACCCCAGTGCTTCCAGTCAGGTTTGTTAGTACTTAAATGCTACTTCCATGAACTCATATTAGGAAAACAGAACTACCTCATTTAAAGAATAGACAAATGGAATAAGAAATTGTTTATCAATTTATTTCACAATTAGGAAAAAAAATACATTTTAGTTTTTCATTGTAGAACTTACAAGAACTATTACAAATAGCCAGATCAGTTTTTTTATATTAAAATGTTTTAAAGGAGCCTACTGTGCTTGCACACATACTAAAAAATTGGAATGATACAGAATAGATTAGCATGGCCCCWGCGCAAGAGATGACACACAAATTCGTGAAGTGTTCCCCAAAAAAAGCCTATAGACAAATATAGCAATACTGATTTTTCTCCTTAAAGTCATAGGAATACTTTATAGCATAGTGATAAAGTATATTTTTTAACTTTAGACATGTAGTAAGCTATCAAATATTGAGGCTGATAGGCCTGTTCATAATGTATATATTATTTTACCAGAACTTTTAGTCAAATTGTTAGAGCTAAAATATCCCTTAAGATTTTCTGAATGAAATTCCTAAGTTTTAGCCCACATTCCTGCTATAAAGCTTTTAAAAATGATAAAAGAAAGAATATGCTGTCTGATTTGTATTTTATATTCTTGATTTCTTATTGTTTGTTATCCTTGTTGTGTCTATGAAAGAACAAAGTAACTCCATAGACATAACTGTGGCAGCATGTGTATATTTAGGAACAGATATTGATAAACCTGATTAAAAAAAAAACTGTGTGTGTGTGTATGTATATATATATATATTAATATTATTATTGTTTTTTCCTTATATCTTCTTTTTTTTTTTGGTTCTGGGGATTGAACCTAGGGCCTTGTGCATGCGAGGCAAGCACTCTACCAACTGAACTGTATCGCTAGCCCCTCTCTCTATATTCCTTTATATATATATATTTGTTTTTTTTTTTTTTTTTTTTGGTATGTATGTGTAGTACTGGGGATTGAACCCCGGCTCTCCTGCCCTCCTGTATGCTAGGCAAGCACTCTGCTATTAAACTATATCCCTACCCATTTTTATTTCTTTGTGAGTGCACTCTTTTTAAATTTTTTTCTTTTTAGTTATATTTGACAGCAGACTATATTTTGACATATTATACATGTATGGAATATAACTTCCCATTCTTGTGGTTGTACATGATGTGGGGTTTCACTAGTCGTGTATTCATATGTGAACATAGGAAAGTTATGTCTGATTCATTCTATTGTCTTTCTTATTCCCATCTCCCCTCCCTTCCCTTCATTCCCCTTTGTCTAATCTAATGCCTAGCCCTTTGTATTTTTTATTTTAAGATACAGTCTCAGTAAGTTGCCAAAGCTGGCCTTGAATTTGCCATCCTCCTGCCTTAGCTTTCTGAGTAACTGGGATAGGAGTGAGTGTCACCATGCCTGGCTGAAAATAAGATCTTAAACTTAGTAAATTTTTTTTTTCTCTTGCTATGTGTTCCCATAAACTGAACACTATTCAACCAGATTGTTTTAGTCTTCACAAATTATAGGGTTATAGGGAATGAACATGTTTAACTTGATTTTAGTTATAGTAGGTTTTAAAGTGGGAAAACCTTCTATAAAACAACACAATGAATTTTGAAAGTAATTAACATGCAGGTCACAATGGTAACCACCAAGAGGTGGGGATATTTTGTGACTGAGAAGGGACATATTAGGGTACTAAGTACTATAACAATGTCCCATGTTATGATTTGGGTAATAGTTACATGGTAATTTTCTTTGTAATTAAAGAGGCGGGGGTGTAGCTCAGTGGTAGAGCACTTGTCTAGCATGGTAAGGCCTTGGGTTCAATCCTCAGCATTGTCAGAAACATAATAAAACCTAAATTTATTTGTACTTTTTTTTTTTTTTTTTTTTTGAGGGAGCTACTGGGAATTGAACTCAGAGGCACTCATTCACTGAACTACATCCCCAGCCCTATTTTGTTAAGAGACAGGGTCTTACTGAGTTGCTAAGTGCCTTGCTTTTGTCAAGTCTGTCTTTGAACTCCTGATCCTCCTGCCTCAGCCTCCGAGCTGCTGGGATTACAGGCATGCACACCAGGCCTAGCTGTACTTATTATTCTGAATTCTCTGGTTTTTATACTTTATTATATGTGATTATATGTCACCAAAGATTTTTTTAAAATTCATCTAGTATTCCTTGTTTCCAAAGCCTATACCTTACAAAAATGACCAAATAATAGAAATATTGCTCTGCTGCTGCCCATTGTCCTTCTGCTAACCTTTTTCTTGTGTCCTTACCTTGATTAGGAGTTATTGTGCAGAATCTTAAAAGAGATTTTTAAGAATCTGTAGACTTGCATGTGCCAGAAGCAGACCAGCATTTACTTAGTGCCCCAAAGGCCATGAACTTTAATATATGTTTGTATAAATTTATTTTCACCTGTGGAGTTGCATATGCAGTGAGTATCAATGATATCATTTTACAAATCTGTTATTGAAAGCTTATAAGCAGGAGATGATTTTCTTTGGTCACACAGCTGGTGAAGTCTAGGCTAGGGTTTCCATACACATCTTTTCTGATCTCAGAGACCTGTTCTTACAGCAGCACTCCACCGTGTCCCTAAATGCCACCCGTTTAGGAGGGCTCTAGAAGCAGATTGAAGTGAATTTCAAAATTTGGAGATCTGTTTGCAAGCTGTCGCCTCTTTAATTCTTGTTCTCACAACTAAAACCACTAGGTTGAGGCCTTTGTTTAGCAGTTACAGAGGTTACTTGGGTGTCTGTGGTATAGCCTTGGAGCCAAAACTTTTTTGAGACCGTTGAGCCTATCATAGTCTAAAACCCCTCTGAAGCTACCTCATAATTATAATTTTGGGAACTGACCCCATAGCTTGATCATGTGTCTATATAAACAAATGATTGAGGAGTTCGATGTCCTCGTAGGACTCCTGAGGGAGAAAACAAGATGGCAATGATGCTGGCAGTCTCCCCTGACTTGAATTGTGCCCACTGCACAGGCACACACATAGATGAGGAGTAGGATGGATCTTCATGGAATAAGCAGCACATACACATGTCCATCTTGGGGTCAAGTAGAACACTGACATTAAATTAAGCTTAAAGTAGTATTTCTTAATACCAACTGTCCTAATGGTTGAAAAACTGAAGAATGCAAAATGCATTCCATAGAATATGTTAAGAACAAAAAGTATTGTGAGATTGACTATGTTTGGCTTAAACCTTGGATTATATAAGGATGAAGTAGATTTCTATAGCAAGACCATTTTATAGTCTTTGAACAATAAACATTGTCACTCTCAAAAGCAAGTATAAAATGGTAAGTAGCATTTTTTTCCAACCTGACTCTGATAAGATTTCAGTGGGTGTCCAGGATTGGAATTCTGTGAAGCTCATGTAGGACATATTAAACTAGAGACTGTCTGGATGACAGAACTCTCAAATTATGACTGAGATATTTAGAATTTTCTATTGAGTAGAGATGGGGTAACCCAAAAGAGCAGTAGTAATCAATGTTACTAAAAAAATGAGGGAATGAAAACTGTATTGGCTTAATTTACAAAGGTAGACTTGAGATGAGTGCTTCAGTTTTTAGGTAATACTCTTTAAAAATGGGTCAATTTTAAGAAGTGTTGGCAGCAGAATCACTCCTTATCCTTGCACTTTTCACAGGGAAGTGAGCCTCTTGAGCCCTCATACATAGTGGGGCATGTGGCCTCAGCACCCAAAGAACAAAACCTGACTACTTTATTCAATGACGGGGAGAACAGTCAGGTATGCTTTCCACATGGCCAAGTCAAGACACCTAGTCCACGGTCCACTTCGTCATCCAAAAACTAGTATCAATTGGAATTGATAGGGAAAAAAATCCACTTGATCCTGAGAATTCCTAGTACACATCTCTCTGATCTTATAGCTCTGGGAACTTACTCTATCTTCTTTTTTCTTTTTTCTGGTCTTTCTGTGGATCATGGGGGATACTGTGGATCTTTTGTTTATTATAATCTCTCCATTTTTAAATCAAAGGGTCTTAAAAATGATTTTGTTCGGAATATCCTGTGGACATTTGAAGACATCCACATGTTGGTGGGATCCAACATGCCCATCTTTGGTGGAGGCAGGTATCCAGCGGTCAGCTTACGTCTCAGGTAAACGGCACCACGCCCCTCTTGTGCTTATGTTTTTTAAATGCTTCCTTTAGATTTAGTGTTCCTTTTGCTTTTCCTTATTTGTCTGGGTAGCCTCTTTTTTCCCTAGATTTTCTCACCTCCCTTGTTCCCATGCCATTTGAAATGGTAAATGCTGAAAGCCCCATAGCTAAGCTCTCATTCTAGACCTAATTGAATAGAGCCAGAGGTCTGTTGTACTGGCTTATTCTTATGTGTCAATCTGCAACCTGTGAGAATACAAGAAAATTTATTGGTTAAGGAGATATTTTGCTAATTTCCTGTTAAATAATTGTGAGCATTCTTCTTAATGCTTCATGAGTATTCATATTAGTGTGAATTTTTGCTTGGGCATTATTGTGTGTGCTCAATCTTGCCTTAGATTGTGTAAGGAACAGTATGTTCAGTCATCTTTCTGTTCATACTGAAAATTTAGTGCCAATTAGAAATAGGAAACAGCTTTTGGAAAGATGTGAAAATATAACATCATTGAGCTATGTGCCTGTGTCTCATCAAACAAAGCATTTATGGCATTTTCATCTAGGGAGCATAGAGTAAAATACTTACATGGGGAAATAAGTCACAGATGACTCATGGAACATCTCAGTGAAAACAAGTAACACTAGAAATATATATTTTTAGGGATAACAACAAACCAATCAATGTGCTAACTGGAATTGACTATTGGTTGGACAACTTGATATGCAATGTACCAGAGCTTGTGATGTGTTTTCATGTAAATGGAATTGTACAGGTAAGATACACTGTGACTTTTTAAATAACCTCTCAAAAGCAAATTGATTGGTGCAGAGAGTACCTCACCAGAGTTTTTAAGGCTTGTGAATACTAAGGTGTATTTTGGTAGGGAATATAGGTGTAAATTAACTGAAACTTGAGTGTTTTCACTTTTAAGTTCGTAAGTATTACTTAAGCATGGATTTGTAACCATAGAACTCTTAAGTGCCAAGTTCATGATGGCAAACCGAAAATGCCAGAGCAGTGGATGTGTTCATCCTTGCACAAATGTCTGCTCGGTGTATGCAAAATTCTAGGAGCAGACTAGAGTGAGAATTGCCTAAGGTAGATAGGTAGCCTATGTAGCAAATTCTTACTGAGCACTTTCTATTTAGGGAAATTTTAATCCCCATTACAAGTGCTGGAGGGAAACAGAGTATGTTTGATCACTACTTACCTATGTTCTGATGGGAAGTAATGATGTGCAGAGAAAACAGTACGAGACATGAAGCGAGTACTGTAAGTGTACACACCGGGTCTGGGTAGTCAGAAGGGCGAGATCACTCTGGGTCTGGAAGAAAGGCTTCATGCAAAAAGTGGCTTATTAACTGGGTCTCAAAAGATAGCTAGTGTCTCAAAAAGTAAGAACTTGGATTTGAGAAGAGTTGAGTAGGTAAATGAGAGGATTGGTAATAAATCCAATTAGGGAACAACAGGATTCAGGTAACAGAGTTGAAAAAGTCTTGGCCAGGTAATGGGGAACCTGGAATGCGGTGCTGAGGAGTTGGTCATGCGGGATCAGTGAAGGCTTTGCCTCTGGGAGGTGAGATTTGTTGTGCTGGAATGTTAATCTGGGATACTATGGAACAGGCAGGGAGGACTTGGGGACAAGAAGATGACCAGCTATGGCATTACTTTAATGAATGGCATAACATTGTGCTGCAGAGGAAGTACTGAGACTCAGCATGGTGGTGATGGCATTTGTTCCTTGCCAGTCCCTTTGTTAAGGGCATCACCTTTTTGATCTTCTCAGCTGTCTCAAGTACTTTTATTCCCTTTTGGTGGGGAAGGAAATTGAGGATCAGGAGCTCAAGTGAGTTGCCCAAGGTCATGTTGCTAGTAAATGGTGGTTCTGATGTTTGAGCCTGTATCTGCCAAGATTATTATTTTTTTCTTTTTTCCTTTGTTTTTGTTTTTTTGTTCTTGTTTTTGGTATTGGGAATGAACCCACGGTGCTTTAACATTGAGCTACATCATCCCGGCACTTTATATTTTYTGAGACAGGGTCTTAATCAGTTGTTGAGATTGGCCCTCTGCCTACCTCAGCCTCCCAAGTCCCTGAGATTATAGGTATGTACCACCACACCCAGCCAGAAGCCTTCCTTTTAACCTTTATAACTTTTTTTCACCTGGGCTTCATCAGAATCACTTGGGCCTCCGGTGTGCCAGGCTTGGTAGGATTGTGCATTATTTTTTTCCCCCAGTAAGTTTTATAGGTGATTGATTTGCAGCCTTGATTGAGAACCTCTGTCACACCATAACCTTAAGTGGCAATATTAGTGAGAAGCTTGTGGTGAGGCAGGGGAAAGGGAAGAGGTAGGTACAGCATTAGTGAGACAGAAGGGAGGAAGAGACCATGGAAACCCAGGGCCCTGGGACAAGGATGATGATGGTGTCTCTTGCTAAGAAAGGGGCAGTGGGCTGGTATAGTCTGGGAAAATGATGTGTTTTTAACACACATTCAGCTTGAGGAAATTTGAGAGGTTCAGTGAGCATTCTGCAGTTACAACCTTCAGAGAAGATGGGCCTAGAGGATAAATTGAAGCACCCCCTGGGTACAGTTTGGTTCATCACCATTGAATCTCAAAATCACGCATCAGAGACTTACCCCATATAAGTGGAAGGGGAGTGGGCATTTGAGAGGGGAATCAGAGTGGTGCAGTATGAACTCTGGGGGGGAGGGAATAACAACCTTGGGGCCTTTAGATGATCTCAGGAGGATGAAAATCAACCTTAGGCAATCTTGTCTGGTGTCCCAATCCAGTTGCTTTAGGGCTTCTGATTTTACAGTATTTCAGGAAATGTGGTAAGATGTGTTTAGGGAAATCTGCACAGAAGACACCCTGGAAAGAAATATGGAGGCACTTTAAAGATAATAGTAGTACCAGCCATGCAGCCTTCATTCCTGTTGCCCCCTCCATCTCTGTGCTCTATCCCTCCAAAGGACGAGTCTCTAACTCAAGGGAAGAGAAGTATCTACAAGGAAAACATCTCAAGTGATGCTCTTCCTTTGAGCCATTCACTCTGGTGTGTGTGTAGGTGGGTAGAGGAGGCCAGAAATATATTGTTTTTAAAATGCTTGTAAGGTAAAGTCTACCTTCATTTACTACCTTCCCTATTTAAACCAGCAAAGGCCTGGGGTTGTGGCTTAGSAGTAGAGTGCTCACCTAGTATGTGTGAAGGACAGCCAGCAGAATGAGAAAGGAAGTGTTCAGTACTGTGTAGTTAGAATAGAAGCAGTGCTAAACCTGAAGCTCTAGACCTGGTGTGACCCCCCTCAAGAGTGTCTTTAGTGGTAGGCCACCATCAGTACTGGGCCTGGATCCTGGGTATTTGGAGCAGGAAAAGATAGAAAATCACTGGCTTAGGGCTGGGGATGTGGCTCAAGTGGTAGCGCACTTGCTTGGCATGCGTGGGGCGCTGGGTTCGATCCTCAGCACCACATAAAAATGAAATAAAGATCTTGGGTCCACTGAAAACTAAAAAATAAATATTAAAAAGAAAAAGAAACTCACTGGCTTACACTCTTTAATGCTACATGGGTCTCTGTTTGCAGATTTGTGTTTGGTTGCTTTGTAAGAGGAAAGATGTTGCTGCCTCAGGTTCTCTCTTAAACAATCTCCCATCTGTGTTTTACAGAAGTATGAAATGATAAAGACAGAAGAGATTCCCAATTTGGAAAACTCTAACTTTTCTACTAAGGTCATAAAGGACATTGCACAGAATATTTTGTCATTTCTGAAATCCAATTGTACCAAAGAAGGACATACCTATTGGCTCTTTAAAGGTAAGCTATTTCTTGGAAACTTGGAATGGAATCACCATTTGACCCAGCTATCCACTCTTCGGCCTATACCCAAAGGACTTAAAATCAACATACTACAGTTCCACAGCCACATCAATGTTCTTAGCAGCTCAATTCATAATAGCTGAACTGTGGAACCAACCTAGATGCGCTTCAGTAGATGAACGGGTAAAGAAACTGTGGTATATTTATACAATGGAATATTACTCAGCATTAAAAGAGAATTAAATTATGGCATTTGCAGGTAAATGGATGGAGTTGGAGAATATCATGCTAAGCAAAGTAAGCCAATCCCAAAAAACCAAAGGCCGAATGTTTTCTCTGATAAGTGGATGCTGATCCAAAATGGTGGGAGTGGCGGGGGATGGCATGGGATAAATGGAGCAACTTTGGGCAGAAGGGAAGGGGAGGGGTATGGGCAGGAAAGACGTGGAATGTGATGGACCTTATTACCCTAGGTACGTGTATGGCTATACATATGGTGAGGCGCTACATTATGTACAGAGAAAAAAAGTGCTGCAGTTGTGTACAATGAATCAAAATGCATTCTGTCATTTATACCTAGTTAAAATAAATAAATATTTTTTTAAAAAGAAAAAAAGGTAAGCTAGTTTTTGAATGGACAATGATCAGTTTGTGTGACTTCTATAAAATGAGGTTTATTTGTTTTTCTTTTTAGCCAGTGGCAGCGATATAGTGAAGCTCTATGATCTCACTACTCTTTGTGAAGAAACAGAAGACAAATACCAGAATCCATTCACAATGCCAGTAGCCATTCTCTTATATAAGTGAGTGCTTTAAAAATTTAAGTTGAAGTAGCCTTATGTAAAAGTGTAGTATGCAGCCACACTCTTCAAGCCAAGCCTTTAAAATACCTCTTCAGGTTTTCAGAGTGGGACAAATGCTTACATACACGTGAGTATATACATGAATATATATGTGGGTGTACAGGAGAGACAGGCACACAGTCACACATATAAACACATTGTACCAAATATCATTCAACTTTCTTAGGAAAGCATAGTATAAACCTTTGGGGGGTAGGTGGGTAAAGTGCAATCTTTAGTTGTTTTTTATAGCCCTTATTCTGTTGGGAAGATGCAAGAGTGTGCCTAGACTTGAGCGCTGTAGAGAAGGATGAGGGGGAGTAAAGTGATCTAAACATCTCTTTCAGGGTTGCTTGTAACATGATGATGAAGAAGAATCAAAATAAAAAACACTATGGGACTATTAGAACATTGCTTCTTAATTGTGTGAAATTGCTGGACAAAAGCAGACATCCTCAAGTAAGATCACATTCATATGCTTTCTGACAGAGTGCTAACAATCTGATGAAGAACTGCTGCCTGGGCAGTGAAGGCCTCTTAGCCAGACTCTAGCCCGCCCCTCCCTTCATGGGTGCCTGCAGCCTGTGGCTGTGGAGCACTTAAATGTGCCTAATCCGAATTGAGATGTGCTGTCAGTGTAAAATACACACTGAATTTTAGAGAGAGTGTGTGTAAATGCACACTGAGTTTAAGTATAGCAGTATCCAGTTTGTAAATAGATTATCCTGAAGACCAAACTTAGAAATAGTTTGTTGAATAAAAAAAGTTGTGTGTGTGTGTGTTTTTGGGTTTTTTTTAATGTTGGGGGCAGGATCTCACTAAGTTGCCCAGGCTGGCCTTGAACTCCCCTTCCTCCTTCCTCAACCTCCTGAGTAGCTGGGATTACAGACACAAAACAATTACTGACTTAAGTGTCTAATTGCTGTTTGAAGTTTTGGTATTTAGTGGTACTTGAGTGATTTATGCAAAAGTTAAAAAGTGATGTTCAGATTATTAAGTGTCTATAATAAAGAATTAGTCAATAATAGTGAGATAAATGGTAATATGTAGTGCTGATTTTAATAGCAATCAGGGAAGGACTTTTCCTTTTTTAATTTAGTGAGGTTTTTTTGCCTTTAGAGCTATAGGTCATATTGTAACTATTGCCTTTTAAAGGTAAGCTATAGTCATTTATAAAGGAAAATTCTCATTTCTCACTTGGTTTGGGTAGGATTTGCTAACATTTTAGTTAATACTTAAAAGCTTTTGCTTGTCCCCCGTGAAGGCTCAGGGTGGAATAATTTCCAGAAATGAAACTCAACCATAAGGATCTCACAGAGCACACTCAAGGCTAGCTTTGGGAACATTTCTGTGTGTGTGACAGTCTGTGTGGCAAAAACAGACTAACTGCCGACACCTTCCAAAACTTGTGCATGTGGTAGTAAAACTGCTTTATCTTTAGATGATGAGACAATTTTGGTGATAGTTACTTACACACATTTGTTTTTCTTTATGTAAGATTATTGCTTCAGCCAATTACATGCTTTCAGAACTTTTTCAATTGGATGAACCTAAAAAGGAAGAAAATTCTGAATCTCCTTTACATGAGAATTCGGATGAAAGTTATAGTGAAGAGGAGGAGGAGATGCCTGACAGTGATGAAAATGGATCCTATAGCACCAGCTCTGACCCGTCAGATGACAACAAAGCAGTAGCTATCATTAAGTCTGTTGGGGAATTGTCAGTACCAGAAAAATACAAGTCCATCCACCAAATCAGGGTGAGCTCACAGGATTTATATTAAAGTTCTATTGGTGGAAAAACAAATAGGTGTTAATTGAATGCAATTAGTCTCAAAGATGCTAATTGATATTTAGCAAATCTTCTGTGATCCGGGGTCTAATAATTCTTAGCTTTCTGAATTCTGAACCTTGGTTTTAGAACCCCGCAGTTGAATAGTCTTGTTCTGGGGTATCTGACCTACATTGTCCAAGGCTGGTGGCCCAAGTACACCAGACAGCCACATGTTGATTTTTATGTGGGAGATTTTTCTCTCCATTAGCCAGTGTGTATTTGTAGCCATGTCTCCTCATCAGGGTATGTCTGTCCAAGTTTTGTGTTGCTAGGAAATAGCATATGTGGGTTGCTTGGTGAACAGAAGTGGGGGGTTGATCCATATGTAGCGCTATCTGGTACGTTGTCCTTGTGCTGTAAGTAGGACAATACTTTTCTGTGACCTGGGGCATGTTTCTGCCCTGGTCAGGGCGGATGTCCCTAACACTGCCCACCCTTTTGGTTTTCCGTAGCATGGGCTACACTGGCTGTTGTATCAGTCTGTCTCCACAGAGTACTTTCCTATGTGCTGCCTCCCTATGATTAGATCCAGTCAGCCATGGGAGAGTTCTGTCTGTTCCACGAACTGAGRTAGTCATATTTACAGATAATCTCTGAATTCAAGTTCCAAGTCTAACATTCAGTTGGAAACTTTATATCCAACCAAGTTTTGTGAGGCCATCTCTGTTACTTTAAAAGATTGCCTGTGTCTCTGCCCTTCTCTCCCTTCACTTTCCCCTTTCTTTTACCACAGCCATCCTGGGTTTTTTTTGTCTCTTTCTCAGAAGTATGAAGATTGTCTGGGGGCCTTTGCCTTTATTGCTGTGCACCTCTGATCAGACACCCTAGATCTTTTTCATGGCTGCCCTTGTGACTGAAACGTCACCTCCTAGGGTAGATCTTCCCTGACCATTCTGGCCACAGCATCCTATGTCGGCTCCTTCAGGGAGCTTCTCTGTACCTATTTTTGGTATGTGCAGTCTCCCATCTCTGAATCATAAGCCTATTGCAGGTAGATCCTCCTCAGCCTCCCATGTCTGGGACACACTGTGGGTGCTCAGGAAATATTTGACTACATGACTGTAGAGAAGCGTCATTAACTCTTCATCTAAGATTTTAGTTCACTTTCAGCCTGAGCCCCACAGTGGAGTAAAAAATGTTTTTCTAGTTAAGTCTTCTATTGTAAAAGTTATGTGTACTTGGGAAGCTGCATTGTAACATAAGGCCCTGGACTTGTGGGGCAATTAGATAATTAAAGGTGCAACAGTATGTTAGCGTCCCTCTTTTGTAGAGACAGCACTTTTTATTAGTGTTAGACATTCAGAAATGAAGTCATAGTAGTCATGAAAACATGCTGTAGCTAGTTTTAGCTGTGTTTGATTTGAAAAATGGGTAATCAGTGTGGATTCCAGAGTCCCTGCTTCTCCACTCACTTGATTCGTCCTCAGATTCCTCTGCCATCTTGTGGGCTTCTATGAGAAATCTAGTAGGAGTTACTAGTAACTCCAGCCTCCCAGGATTCCAGAAAATGAAATGCTTCTAGAGGCCTGTACACATACTGTTACTTAGTGGGTAGATGTTGGTAACTAGTTTTGCTCCTTAATTAAGCAGGTAAATTATATAGTGAGCCCTTGGGGTGATGAGTGATTCTTGTTGACCTTTTGCTAAATTGTTAACTATGCTACCAAGTATCAATGCTAATTAAGAGTTGAATTAATCTATTGGATTTAGTATGCATTTTATCTAAAACATTACAACTCTCATTCTTGCTTTTTTGTTATAATAGAATTATTTTTAGAAATTTAAGTACTTAAAGCAGCACATATACTGGAAGATCTTTTTGTTAAGCTAGATTTGTTGATATGCTTACAGTAATTTAATCTGCAAACAAAAACATTGCAGAAACTTTTGTATCAGAAACCTTACCAAGTTGAATACAAAAGCATATTTCTAAATTATTGGTTTGTAGAGTTTTAGAAATTTCCAGAAGTGAGTCAGGAAATGTGTTGTAGCATGTTAATAACTTCAGCTGTTTGTTTCTAAAGCCCAGTTGTGCATTTCCAGTTTGCCATGATACAGAAGAGCGCTGCAGACTAGTACTTAGCTATGTTCTGGAGGTAAGTCTAAATTTAGATTTTGTTTTTTCAGTAAAGTTTGTGGTTGATATGCAAATAGCACTTGTTCATTGGTGTCTAAATGTTATTCTGAATGGTGGTCTGCTGAGATTTTTTTTTCCAAGCCTAAAGTGAAAAGCAAATCAATGTTTCCCAAATCTTTCAGATCAAACAGTTTTTCGAAGTCTGTTTCTAAAATAGAAATTCTGCCTTATTCTTAGTAAAGTATACAATAAATGTTTTTCCTTTTTTTAAAGGGTTTAAAATCTGTAGATAACAGCATCAAAAAAGAAAGTGACCTTCCAGCCGCTGACCCCAGTACCCCAATCCCCTTAAAATATGAAGATGAATCTGCAAGGGGGGGTCCTGAGGGGCTAGAGAAGCAGATGGCCTTGTTTTTGGACAAAAGTAAGTTGAATTGATGTGCAAATAAGGCCCTCAATAGAATAATATACTGGTCCTTTATGTCAATGAAGGCATTCCATTGAAAGGAATTGAGAAAAAGTATGTCATGTGAATGAGAAATAGGGTGACATAGCTTTTCATTCTAAATATAAAACAAAGCAGAGTAATTTTGATCTTCCATACTATTTTTTTAAAAAAAATTTTTAGTTGTAGGTGGACATGATACCTTTCTTTTATTTAAGTTATTTTTCTGTGGTGCTGAGGATCAAATCCAGTGTTCCACGTGTGCAAGGCAAGTGCTCCACCACCAAGTTACAATTCCAGCCCCCATAAATATTTTAATAAGAGCATAAGGACCCTGGTTCCCCCTTGCCTGCTGTGAGGAGCTGATGCTGTCAACCCAGTGCAGTTCTTCAGAGCAGTTGCATTGGTAACAGCAAGGGAAGGTGATTAGCACAAGCTGTGGCTTCACCCAGGCATATTTCCTCACTTCCTTGAGCTGCCTTTTCCTTCTCAAATTTGACCTAATAATAGTGTCTACTTTTGAAGGATATCACAATGATTAAATGGTTAACATAAGAAAAGTGCCCAGGACCATATATAGAAGTGGTGGCTGTAGTCATTTCATATGTGAATAAGCTGGCAAGGTCACTTTCAAATGATCTGTGTGTTCCTCAGGAATGTCCCTTTATGAAAAACTTTGAGATAAAAGTCTTGAGGTTTCTGGGTTTTTTAATCTGTCATATTTCTTATTCCAGCCTTATCTCCTCTCCCTTTTTAAAAAGTTTCAGTTGTTTTAAAAACAATTATTTTGAAAGCCTGTGTATTTGAAATACTACCAAGTGCTTTCTGGACCTTTCTTCTCTTCATGAACAAAAGTGGTGGAGGTGGGGTGGCTTTGCTCCCCCAGCATCTGTGTGTGGTGCTTCTTGTGTGCCAGGCTTATCTGCCTGCAGTGAGAATCTACACTGTGACTTTCTCTTTTTTTTTTTTTTTTTCTGAAACACCTTTTCTATCTCTTATTCCCCCTCATTTGCCCCAATTGAAAATCCTGTTCAAGTTCAAAATCACCACGCTCACCTCTCTCTCTAGTTGGAGTTTCTTGATCCATTAACACTGGAAGTGGGGAGCACCCACTAAAGCCTTGTCTTGTGAACAGGTGTTAAATGGTTTTCAGCACCACAGTTGTGAGCACGACCTGCATCTTGGTGTCTTTGGTTTTATCAGTGCTTCACATACAGATAATGCTTATAGCAGTAGAGGAAAAGGAAATCAACCTACAATGAAACCATCATAGAGACTAAGTGCTTTTTGTTGGCTTGAAAAATTCATAAGTCTAGCTAATAAGAAAATGGGGCCGGGGGTGCTGGGTTTGTGGCTCAGTGGTAGAGCGCTCGCCTCACACATACGAGGCCCTGGGTTTGATCCTTAGCACCACATTAAAATAAATAGAAAAATAAAATGTATTTTAATAAAGAATATATTCTTCAAAAAAGAAAGAAAATGGGAATTCTGAGGACTGGGAGAAAGGCGTGTGTTTGGCGGGGCTGGGGTTGTAGCTCAATGGTGGAGCATTTGTCTAGCATGTTCTCATCATCACATAGAACTTTATTATTATCAAMAACTAAAAAAAAAAGTTTTTTTTTTTTAAACAAAAGCATGTGTTTTTGTTCTTTGGTCCAAAGCATTTTGCTCTTACGTCTGTAATCACAGTGAGTATATTTGGTGTGGTTTATGTTATCAAGGCAAAGGCCTTAGGACTCCATGTCACGGTTCCTAGTGCCTGGCCCTGTGCTTGGCACAAAGGTGGTCATTGGTGGAGTGGAGTAGCCTGCGCTTTGAGTGTTCCTGGTGGGGAAACCATGGGCTGCTGTGGGAGCCAGGAGGAGCCAGGTAGTGACTTGAGGCAACAGGTAGTGACTTGAGTCTGGCTGATGGGCAGTAGGGGTGGAGTAGTAGAAAAGCTAGAAAAATGGCATGTAGAAAGTAGCTCGGATGTATATGGTTACAAGTGCTAGAAGCCCTGTTCTGTCTGGTGACCTGCTTTGACTGAGATAGGGGCTTTGCTTCAGGAAGGCATAATATTTGGTAGGTTGATTTCAGAATGGAGACAAGAGGCAGATGTCAGTCTGTAGGCATCGCAAAAGAGAATGTCAGTTGCCCCTCGCAGAGATGCGGAAGGTTTGGAGCTTCAAGCAAGAGTTTGAACAGTGCCATTTGACTCCTTTGAGATTAGGCAAGGAAGCATAGTATTCACCAGTCTCAACATGGCAGTAGCATCTGAGTCTCCAGTGTTTCTGTCAAGCAACAGACCATATCTTTTTATTGTAAGATTTGTGCTCAAGTAAAATGTGCTCTTTTTCCCCATGTCACAGTGGGCTCCCTTCAGAAGGGTAATTATTCCAGTCAATCTGGAATGATCCCTGGTTCTTGGCAACATAAAATGAAACTCCAGCTGATTCTCAAGTCATCAAAGGCCTATTATGTCTTGTCTGATGCTGCCATGAGTCTTCAGAAATATGGGAGAGCACTGCGATACATTAAGCTGGCCTTGCAGAGCCATGGTAAGCCACCAAGAGTAAGTGGGGTCAGGGAGGGAGGCTGAAGGCATAGGTCACTGTGGGCCCTCACTCCTGCTCCTCTTGTGGAGTTTGATCTTAAAATGGCTTCTCCCAACCCTCTGTATGTTACCTAGAATTTTATTTTGTGCTCTGCAGCTTAACATCTCTTCATTTTGAAACACATGTAGCCACCTGAAATATATCTGCTACCTGGCACAAAATGAACTTTGAGCAGATGCAGCGGTATCTAGCTTTCAGCTGGTAACAGATTTTCTTCATTTACTGTGCACAATAATTTTAATGCCTTTGTGTTTTTCTCCTTCCTACTATTTTCCAAATAGATACTTACTGCTGCCTGTGTACCAATATGCTCTCTGAAGTGTTGCTGTTTCTTTCTCAATATCTGACCCTCTGTGGTGACATCCAGCTCATGCTGGCCCAGAATGCAAGTAACAGAGCAGCACACCTGGAAGAGTTTCACTACCAAACCAAAGAAGACCAGGAGATCCTGCACAGCCTCCACAGGGAGTCTAGTTGCCAGGGTATGCCAGAGAGGCCTCGTGTGCACAGTGGTGCTGTCCAGAAGCCCATGCTTGTTTATGTCCAGACAAGTGGCAGAAACCTAAGTCGTTCAGTGTTTGCTGTATTGTTTCATTCTTAGTTTTAAAACCAAGCATGATCCTCCTGTTTTTATCAAAAGGTTTTTAAATATAATTATTATTGCTGACTATAAAATAAGGTGAAGACAGTTATGAGTTTCTCTGAATACTCTTCTTTTTATGAGGGTTTTTTTAGTGGTCAGCAGACCAAGCCATACATTTTCCTTTGGAAAATAGTAAGTTGGTGAGAGTGTATTAATTACCTTCTGAAAGAATGTGGGGCCAAGATAAAGAGACCATTATTTTTAACATGAGTTCATAGCCACTGTCTTGTGTCACTGTCAGGGTTGTCCAGGGCTGCAGTGGGAACTAGGGCAGCACTGCATAGCAGCAGTCCCTCAGCCCAATGCTGTGAGTGCACAGGCTGCGGTCAGGGGCAGATGAGGCAGAAGGCCAGTCTTCTGAAGGTGCTTTTGAAATGTATCATGTACTTGCTTCTTTATGCTCTAAAATTACTTATAACATTTGTTATCTGCTTCCCAGAAAATCTTAGACAGTTGACAGCTGGAGGAGCACACGAGGGTGCAGTGTCCTTGCCTAATATTTGCCCTCCTTTTTCCCCTTCGCCCTCTCTCTCAAATGGTCATTATATTTTAATAGACACAGTAGAAAAACCTCAGTGTGCTTTGTTCCCATCACAGTCTCCCCATATCTGAGTGTCAGCGGGAAGAGCGCTGCCTTTTTCCCCTTGAACTTGGGTTCTGCGCTTGCTTACTCCAGCCCACTAGATGGCATTTGTAAGTTTGAGGACTTAGCTAGGACTTGTCTGCTTGTGACTTAATATTAACTTTACTTCAAGTACTATTTCCATTAAAACTAAAAACTGTTTACTATGTATCAGTGGATAGCTTTTGGTGTGTACTAGTCCAGCTGGAAAAATCTGGGTATTTATGAAACTATAAAATTGTGTATTATTGATTAAGACAGTATATTTATGCAGCTTTGCATTTTGTATTTTGACTAAAATCTCTGACGCACTTAGATATTATGGAAGAAGAGTTTATATGGCTTCTGCTAACTTTTTTTTTTTTTTTTAAAGGATTTGCATGGGCAACTGATTTGTCTACAGACTTAGAAAGTCAGCTTTCAGTTAGTTGTAAGTGCTATGAGGCTGCGAATGAAATCTTGCAGTTTAGTGACTTAAAAAGCCAAAATCCGGAACACTATGTACAAGTATTGAAGAGAATGGGCAACATTAGAAATGAAATTGGTGTGTTTTACATGAATCAGGCTGCTGCATTACAGACTGAGAGAATGGGTGAGTATCTTGGGATTCTTCTCTTTAATCTATGTTCTGTTATATAAGTCATGCTGATTTTATATGGGCTGGCTAAGAACTGTTGCACTTGATTGTTATTAAAAGGAACTCTGTTTAAAAAAGCTTTTACTATTAAAATTCTCAAGAAATAAAATAAGGGGAAAACATAATTTCCCTTGGGCTCCATCAGCTCCGTGTCTTCTTTCTTCCCAACTTTTATACTTCATACACATCTGGTCAGTTCAGAAACCACTTGAACAGTGAGCCACGTGCCAGGCTCTGTGTTGGACGTATAACTGGTCCCTCTTCTGGTTGGAAAGCCTGGTATGAATACAGATCTCTAAAAAGTGCTGTAAATAAGTTCAAATGCAGTACAGTAGGAGAATGGGGAAAGGAGATATTCAGAGAGGTTGTAGGGTTCTTAGAAGCTGTGGTGGAGGGGAGCAGTGTGTGCCGAGTATACCCCAGCAGGCAAATGTGAAGGAAGAGCTTTCCAGATGAGGGAGCACCAGGAAAGTGCCTGTGGAGAGTGTGGTGCACCCGAGAGTAGCAGGGCCACGGTGGGCTGTGGGACCTGTGTGTGAAGAGGCCCAAGTTAGAAGTCTGGCTGGGAGCTGCCAGGGCTTCTGCAGCTCCAGCGAGGGCCCTTCCTGTGGTAACGGCAGAGGCCATGTGAGCGGATGACAGCCTGAAGGCTGGCAGTGAGAAGGTGGGGCTGGGATGCGGCTGCAGGTGACTTGAAAACAGCTAGGCGCCTGCTGGGCTGTGAATGGAGCCTGTCCAAACAGTTCAATGCAAGAAGAGCCTGTGCAATTAAGGGTATCTGGAGGGAGGTGGCCTGTGGGAGAGCATGGGGCTGGCTCTTAGGAACCTAGGACAACTGGATAGAACAGACTCTGCCCTTGTAGAAGTCCAAGGGACAGCATTTGAATTTGTACAAAATAGCACCTTGCTCAGATGTCTTACCTTGCTTGTCTTAATGTCAGTCCATTAATAATGAGAATATACATAAATGTTGTACCATGTTACCGGGGCTGATATAAAATACACAGACTGTGACTTGAACCTCAGAAATATACTTCTCCTGGTTCAAGAGGCCAGAGCCCAAGATGAAGGTTGGATCCCTCTGAGGCTTTCAGTGGCCTGCTGTGTCCCTACTTGACCCTTTCTGTGTGCACGGCCCTGGCATCGCCCCTCACGTACAGGCACACCAGTCATATTAACTCGGGACCCCATTTAACCTAAGTTTCCTCTTTAAAGGCCTGATGCAAATATAGTCACAGTCTAAGATGGGGGTTAAGGCTTCAACCAGATGGATTTGGGGGACACCCTTCCCTTCATGTCAGTCATGGTGAGAGCAGAGTACTGCAGTGGCCCAGGTAGCTGGCTTTCCACCAGGCTCCTGTCAGTGCTGTGCTCCTGTCACCCTCACCTGGAGGGACGGTGCTGGGTTCACACTGACATCTGCTCATGCAATTGTTTTCTTTCTTTCTTTGTGAAGTGAGCAAATCTGTGTCTGCTGCAGARCAACAGTTGTGGAAAAAAAGCTTTTCTTGTTTTGAAAAGGGGATTCACAACTTCGAGTCCATTGAGGATGCTACGAATGCGGCTCTGTTGTTATGTAACACAGGAAGACTGATGCGCATCTGCGCTCAGGCACACTGTAGCGCAGGGGACGAGTTCAGACGGGAGTTCTCCCCAGAAGAGGGCTTGTACTATAACAAGGTAACTGCCTGCTTGTGGTGGGCCTGGTCTGTTCACTCCTGCTTCTGTTTACCCGTGGCTATCACTCCACTAAAATGTTACACAACTAAAAATAATTGAACCATCGCCCAGGATTTGACATACTTATAGAAATTTGCCTAACGGTGGTGATGAGAATCTACTGTTGAAGGAATATCTTGAATTGTTAGGGAAAAGATGATTCAGTAAGTTATGTGGGTTATCAGAGAAATGTCCAGTAGATTAAGGATTGACATGGAGAGGGGGAAGCTAAAAGCACCAGAAGAAAATGGAGGTAGAGGTTGGCATGGGGCGGGGATGGGGGGGAGGACTTCCSCAGCATGGCACAGGAAGCCTAAGATGAATTAACTTAAATGTGCAAATGTGCACAGCAGCAGGTAAAGTTAAAGTAGATCATGATCCAGGGTAGTAAGAGCGACACAGATGACAGTCAGGTTAGTACATCCTTACTATATGAAGAATTAAGAATCATTGAAAAGAAACCACTCCAGTAGAAAAAGGGCAAATAAATGTGAACAAAAATATATATACATGTAAAAAAAAGTAAATGCCTAATATGTAAGAAAAACATCAAAATTTTAATTTATATAAAATTTTGTCTATCAGATGGACACATGATAGCATCCATTGTCAGGCACAGGGAATGAGCACTTCCATAATTGAGTATTTTTACGCTTTCTAATGACATTTGTGAAAAATGTTCATGGCATAGTAAATTGTGAGATAAAAGCGACCTTGTTTTTGTTTCTCTTAAGTTTTTACATGCACAGAAGGAAACAGCAGAAGTATAGTAGATACTGTGATTTGTTTTAAGTGAAAGGGTCACATATTTGAGGATGGGGGAGATAGGGTGAGACAAGTGACTTTTTGCAAGAAAATCTCAAATTATTTTCTCCTATTGACTCATTCCACAAACTGTAACTTTTATTCAGAAAGGGAAACAAACTGGAAAAAAATACATCCTGTGCACCAGGCTGTTAGAAAATAGCACTAAGGACTGACCTGCTAGAGACTCAGATGAAGGGTTCAGTCCACTGTAAATAAACTTGTCAAAATATTTTCATTGGCTCTTTTTTCCTTTCTTCATAATGTTGTCCTTTTATAAGTTTTCCCCGTCATTAAATTGACATCTGGGTGGTTTTGAGTATTTTGTGCCAGACACGGTGGTGCACACCTATGTGCACCAGTGGTTGGGGAGTCTAAAGTAGGAAGAGCACAAGTTCAAAGCCAGTCTCAGCAATTTAGCAAGGACCTACACAACTTAGTAAAACCCTGTCTCAAAATAAATAAAAGGGGCTGGGGATGTGTCTCAGGGTTCAGTCCCTGGTATGGAAAAAAAAGTATACTTTATTTTTAATGCAGTATTGGTATATTTGTAAACAGAGTAAAAAATTCTCACCTTTTCTTTCCTTGCAGGCTGTTGATTACTATTTGAAAGCTCTGAGGTCATTAGGAACGCGAGACATACACCCAGCCGTCTGGGACTCAGTGAACTGGGAATTGTCCACTACTTATTTTACCATGGCAACTCTACAACAGGATTATGCTCCATTATCCAGAAAGGCTCAGGAGCAGGTCGGGAGGTTTGCTGGATTATGAAATGAGTCTTCAGCCTTATTTATTCCTTTGTTATCTTTTCGACAACCAGTATTTAAACATTGTGAAATTCTTAGTCTGTGATTGTGAGCTTGTCATTTTTTTCTCCCCCTTAAAAAAAAAAAAAACAGATTGAAAAAGAAGTCAGTGAGGCTATGATGAAGTCCCTGAAGTACTGTGACGTTGATTTGGTGTCTGCCCGACAGCCTCTCTGTCAGTATCGAGCAGCAACCATCCATCACAGGCTGGCTTCCATGTACCACAGTTGTCTGCGGAATCAGGTATGTCTGTTCCAGGCTAAGTTGCTTTCCAAGACCATTGACAAGTGTTCCTTGTTATGAATTCTAATTAGCCACTTTAGAAAAACCCATGGAGCCGGTGTTCCTCCTCTCATTTGTGCCATGTTTTTCTCTACTACATTTGATCAGATCTTGGTTTGAAAATTATACATTTGCTGGGTGTGTTACTTAGTTGGTCTTAAATGCCATCAGAACTATAGTAATGGTTCTGAGCAAACTTTGAAGTAACGGTCTCCTGGTTTTTTTTATTGTGATATAAAGCATGCCTGTGAGAGCACAGGTGGAGCAGAGGTGCAGGTAAAGACTGATGGAAGGAAACCCCTGTGACCTTGCCTGGAGTTAGAACAGAGAGCTCTTTAGAGAGCCCCTAGCACCCTGCTGGTATTGCCCTGCCAGGCACCCAGATTGGTGCAGAGCTGTCTGGTGTCTTGCCACTTGATGTGTTGGGTTTTACGTGGTTGTGAGACTTATGGAATGACTTGAACTGCAAGGATCCTTCTGTGGATTACTGCATTTTGCTTAAAGGCATGTTTTTGAGATCCACACATCAGTGCAGGTAGCTTTTCATTTCACAACTCGGTAGTGCTTGTGCAAGGAAGACAGCATAGTTCAGTTACCCATACTGTGGCTACTGAACTTGGTGTTTTCCAGTTTGAGGTGGATGCTGGTGCTCAGCCTTGTGGATTGCGAGGAAGCACCTGATACCCAGGTTGAAGCTGCCCTCTTTTAGAGAGTCTGCTTTGCTTCTGCAGAAGACTTGTCCTTGTAGTTGCTCAGTCTGTTGTGCATTGTTTTCCCCTTTCTTGGCTCGATACCTGGACACCATGCTGTACAGTCGCTTGGGCTTTGTTCTCTTCTGGACCCCTCACCCTGGGTATCAGCCTTTGAGACCCAGCTTTACCTGGAAAGGGTTTCTTTCCACTGTGCTGAGGTGCTCTCCATCTGAGGTCCCCTTACCATAGGAGACCCCCACCCCCAGCCAAAATTCAAGTTTGCCCAAATGGCTTAATATCTTCAGGACAAAAGCAATCTGAAGGATGTTTAGGCAGTTCAGTTGGGGAAGACTAGTAGTCTCCTCAGCAAATGGAGCTGGCACAGATGGCTCTCCACGTGCRGAAGAACAGAAGTGGGCTACTGCTTCACAGCATAAGTGAAGATCAACTTTAAGTGGCTTGAAGGCCTAAGTATAAGAGCTAAAACTTAAAGACTTGTAGGGAGAATGTAAACAACTGAAAAGCATTTAGTGATCCAGTCAGAATACTTGAATAACTAGTTACTATGAACCCCAAGCCTTAAGAATTGCATTTTTAAATTTTGTTTTTGGTTCTAGGTTGGTGACGAACATCTTAGGAAGCAGCACCGGGTGCTGGCAGATCTTCATTACAGCAAAGCTGTAAAGCTCTTTCAGCTCCTCAAAGACGCTCCATGTGAACTACTTAGAGTGCAGTTAGAAAGAGTGGCATTTGCAGAATTTCAGATGACCAGTAAGTCTGATGTCTCACTTTTCAGATTCGTGTGCACTGGCTCAGTGTGGAATTTTCCTGGAGTCTTAGAGCCTCTGGATTGCTCTTGGATGTAACTGATGGTGTTTTCTTATTAATTTGCCTATAGGGATGCCTTATGCGGGGACCTGGAGAAGTTACTATGCTTTTTAAAAAAAAAAACAAAACAAAACATTTATTTATTTATTTATTTTTGTAGTTGTAGATGGATAGAATGCCTTTATTTTATTTATATTTTTTAATGTGGTGCTGAGGATCGAACCCAGTGCCTCACACATGCTAGGCAAGCACTCTATCACTGAGCTACAGTCCCAGCCCTTTGCTATGCTTTTTGAGGTGCATTTTAAAACAGAGCAGTCAATTTAGACAAAGATTTAAATCGGCATGCAAAACTTGGGGATGGAGAAGCAGCAATAGAGAAGTAGAGGTTCTTGTTGAATGCCTTTAAATATGGAACTGACGCTCAGCTTTTTGGGATGTGGTTCTAGAATAGATGCTAAAATAGAGCCTGATCAAACTTAGGATAATTTGGGATGTGGGGGAATTGTGAAAAGAAGTGGGAGTGCTTCCTGTGTTGCTTCCATGGCCGACACCAAGGGGCCACTCTAGTCACTTAGTGCTTTCTGAATTCTCACCCTCTACTGCTCTCTCACTAGTTTTCTTCTTAACAGAGAGGGTTTTTGAAAACTACTTTGTTTTCCCCCCATGCTGGGAATTGAACCCAGGGGCACTTAACCACTGAGCCACATCCCCACCCCCTTTTCATATTCTTATTAGATAGGGTCTCACTGAGTTGCTTAGGGCCTCACTAAGTTGCTGAGGCTGGCTTTGAACTCATGATCCTCCTGCCTCAGCCTCCTGAGCTGCTGGGATTATAGGCTTATGCCACCGTGCCTGGCTGAAAAATATCTCTTCTGTGGTAAGGAAACAATTTATTTGGAGTGCAGCAATTCATTTGGCTTCACTTTGGTATTTTGCTTTTTAAATTTTTAGTTTTAAAGTTTCAGATTTTGGAGAATTTCAGATTTCTGATTTTGTGATTAAGGATGCTCAACTTATAAAAAGTCTATGCAAATATTCCAAAGTCAGAAGTTTGAAACACAGTAACAAGCATTTTGGATAAGGAACAGTCAACCCATTTTTCAAAATATATGAGTATGTGTGTGTGCATACATACACATGCGTACCCATGTCTTAGTGTGTAGGTGCTTAAGCAGCCTTGGAAGGATGTGCCTGAGGAGGGGACTGGGGACACATTCTCACTGCCTTCATTCTCACATTGAACCTTGTAAATTTGGGGAAAGTATTACCTTTTTAACAGTTTCTAAAAGTATTTTATTTTGCTATATTTTGCTAATTATTTGCCAACATAGTAATGCATGGTGTCCACATGGGTTGGTCTGCAGGATCAGCAGCACCTCTTTCTGGGATGGGTTTGAGGTGAATTATGTAGCTTGTTTGAATGCTTTAGAAAAAGCAGGCGTCATTTTTTTTTTTTTTTTTCCTTTTGTTGGGTGGGACAAGGTGGGTATTGGGGTTTGAACTCAGAGGTGCTCTACCTCTACCATGGAGCTACATTCCTTTTTTCTTTTCTTCCTTTTCTTTCTTTCTTTTTTTTTTTTTTTTTTTTGAGATAGGGTCTCACTAAGAACATAGGCTGGCTTCAAACTTGTGATCCTCCTGCCCCAGCCCCCAAGTCCCTGCATTACGGGTGTGTGCCTTCACACCTAACTTGAGTAGGCCTCATTTTTATAAAACGAATAGAGATTCCAAGAATAAGTTTGCTAAGATGGTGTAACTAATTCTGTTTTTTAAATTTTTTTTTTTTTAAGAGAAAAGTTTTATAATATTTATTTTTTAGTTTTCAGCAGACATAACATCGTTGTTTGTTTGTGGTACTGAGGATCGAACCCGGGCAGCACATATGCCAGGCGAGCATGCTACCGCTTGAGCCACATCCCCAGCCCATTTTAAATGTTTTAATAGCTGGAGTGTAGCTCAGTGGTAGAGCATGATCTCCTGGGTTTAATCCCAGTACTGCCCAAAAAGAAAAAAAGTTTTAATAGCCTGTGTACCTTATGAAAACAATTTAAATACTTCAGAAGGTTTTATTAGCCAAGCTTCTGGGTTTTGTAAGCCACATCAATAAAGACTAAATGTATAAAAATTTTTAGTGTATAAAACCTTTCAAAGGAATCACGTGACCTACTGTTTTCTTCTTCAGTACTTAGGGCTCACATTTACCTTTCTTTGTCTTCTTCCCTCTGCCCCAACAGCTTTTTCATACATAGTCCAGAGTTTTCTTCCCTGTGTCAGATCTACACTAAAAATACATCTGTCCACTGATCTTTTTCCCCCCAGTGCCGCAGTCTGGCTGGGCACAATTCAGGAGCCACTTGTCAAAAGAAACGAACTTTATTTTTAGAACACACACTCCGCACCACACAGCTCTTCAGGAAAACCCTCAGGGCCCAACTGCCACCACCGGCTTCCTACAAGCCTCTCAACCTCCCCCACCCCTCCTGCTCTTGAGGCCAATTGCCTGGGTCGTGTGGGCAGAGCCAAAAAAGCCCCCCATTGAGCAGCTCCGTGGTCTGAAAGGGCGGGGAAATAGCCCAATGAGCATCACCGCAGAGGAGCCAATCAGTTGGCAGCTAGAAGTTTGCTGGGGCCACTGTGAGCCAATCATCAGCTGGCAGCTGGAAGTTTGCCGGGGTCCCTTTGGCTGTGGCTCTCAATATCTCCCCCTCTCTGTTTAAACAAGCATGTGGCTTAGGGACCGTGCCTGCCTTAGGTTGTCCAATACTACATATGGTTCTTACCCGTCATCGGATGAGCTGACCTCAAGGCGTCAGCCTCCTGTCTTAGGTTGGTACCATTGCAATTGGATCTTACCCGTCATTGACTACCAGTCCAGCATACAGCCACACCTGTGGATAGGTCTTTGTACCAGCGGGAGGGTGAGGTTCTTTGCCTCACCTCTGTTGGCCCCCAAATTTTAGCTTTTAGCTGAACGCCATCACAAGCAGAAGGGAGGAAGATAAACCAAGTCAATTGACGGCTCCTTTTTGGAAAAATTGTACCACCGATGACACTATCAGCAAAAATACCCCAACACTACCACAAGTCGCTTTACCAACAGATAGTTCACAATGCATACAAGTGAGTTCACAATGCATACAAGTGATACATAGTCCAGGCAAGTTCTGCAAGCAGTTTAGTGATAGCTATTGCAGAAGCTGTAGATTGGTTTTATCTTTGTCTTCACTGGCACTGGGATGAAGATAGGAATTCTGGCAATAATGGCTAAAGAAAAAATTATGTAACATTCCAGAAGGCACTAAAAACAATTTTCTGAACAATTTACATTATCTTGAACAGAATTATTAAATATAGTGAAAAGGAAAGGTGAAAGTAAACAAACAGATCTGTTAACCTCCTTTTTTGTTCACATATTAAAACAATCCTCAACAGCTGTTTACCCAATTTAAATTAAACCATTTAAATCATGTGAATAAAAAAAAATATTTGGATTCATTTTTTCATGAGCGCTTATCATATATGATGTATGGACATATGTACATACAAACATACAACACATAATACATACAACACATAACATAATAGTAACTTTTTACAGGTGAAATCTCCATTGCAATGTTTAAAAACTCTATAGTCAAAAATAGAACTGATCAGCAAAACATTAACCTAGGTCTGTACGAGCTCAAAAAAACAAAATAGAACTTCATGATGTGGGAAAGGGTAATAATAAAATAGATATTGAAAAAAACATTCTGGTTCTGTTGCAGATGTAAGGGTAGCCAAACTGGAGTTCTGGATATTAGCTGTTATGGATTTGAGCCAAATCATCTTCTTTTTGGTCTGTAGAAATGGCTTTAGTTAATCTCTCTGGAATCCAAATTGGCTGCTGTTCTCCCTGTGGAAACACACAAACAGACCCCCAACTCCAGACAGTCACTGGGTCAGGACCTTAGTTAATCTCTCTGGAATCCAAATCTGCTGCTGTTCTCCCTGTGGAAACACACAGACAGACCCCCAACTCCAGACAATTACTGGGTCAGGACCTTTTTCCATTGTCCTGTTAGAATATCCTTCCAAAGTACCTTGGGCTTATGTACATTTTTTGGACACATATGCCTTTCCGCAGCACTAAGTCCTGATGAATCCAAGTTTAAAAAGTTTAGAGTAAAAAGGGTTATTTTAAGTTTATCTTTGGGGAATATATACCCCTTCCCAATTCCCTCTTTTTGCTTTAATAAGTACATTTTAATAGTTTGATGAGCTCTTTCAACTATGCCTTGTCCCTGTGGATTGTATGGGGTTCCTGTTATATGAGTAATGCCAAATGATGAGCAAAATTGTTTAAAAGAGGTAGAAGTATAACCAGGGGCATTATCTGTTTTTAACTGTTTTGGAATGCCCACAGTGGCAAAATTTTGTAAGCAATGAGCTATAATATCTTTACTTTTTTCTCCGGCATGAAGGGAGCCCATCAAAAATCTGGAAGAAGTATCAAGTGTAACATGCAAATATTTTAATTTTCCAAATTCTGGCAAGTGTGTGACGTCCATCTGCCAGATATAGTTATGTATCAGACCTTTAGGACTGACTCCAAGATTAACTTGTGGTAAAAAGGTCACTGCTGATCCTCGTAAGGTCCCTTTCCTAACAACATATCTAGATTTCTTTGAGGATAACCAGCTGCTGCATTTCGCCTAGCTGTCTCCTTGCAAAATTCCTCATTGGCAACCTTTCATAACAGGTATTGTCCTCCATTTAGCACAGCTTTTACACATATTAGCCCAATCTGCTGGCGTCATGTTCAAGTTGGTAATGGATTCGACCATGCTTACAGTGAAGGGTGCTTGAGGACCATACGTTGTTACAGCCTCTTTTAGCTGCTTCACTTTTTTGAAATTTAAAGCATGGTGAATTCGCTGCCCTCCTGCCTGCTCAAATACAGGGCATGTTAATATTTGAGATCCTGTCTCAGGATCCCAACTATCAACTGCGGGGGTTGGGGGCCTCCCAGCATATGGAGGTGGTGCTGTTGGTTGGACACTTACGCCCTCTGATGATAGAAAGGTGTTAGTAGCAGTCTCCTATAGAGGTGGCGCTGTTGGTTGGACACTTACGCCCTCTAGTGATAGAAAGGTGTTAGTAACAGTCTCCTATTGTAACTTTTCCCCTGATGGCTTTTTCTGCTCTTAACTTCCTTCCTCTGTCTGACTAGCTCGAAAGACCTTCTCTTTTACTTGAATCTTTTCCTCTGACTAACTTGAGAGACCTTCTCTTTTACTTGAATCAATATGTCTTCTCCTTCCTCTACCATTGTCTGAACTGGAGGCTTTGGACTAAGCAAACAAGGTATGAACGTCCACAATGGCAATGTGCCAACTGGCAGAGTTCCTGGGCTTTTCTTTTCTATTCTTTTTAAATCTTCACCATGGTGGTTCCATTGTGATATATTTAACAACTCCTCCTTAAAAAGCCATGGGCTACATTTTTGTATTGTATCAATGTATGCGCTGACTGCTCTTGATTTTACTGGGATGCCTCCTTCCTCTAACAATTTACTTAACACTCTTTCGGTTTGTTTTTTACTAATTTCTGATCCCATATTTTTACTATAATACAACCCAACAAGATGATGCCAAACAAAACCGAGACAGAATGAAACAAAAATGGAACAACACAAAATCATTATATCAGCCTTTCTATCCTCCTGAAGTGTCTGTCCATCYGTCCTTTCTCCCTATCTGTTCCTCAGATGCAAATAGGTTTTCCTCAGATGTGAGTGGTTTTTCTTCCGTCTCACTCATCTCCAGGGACAGGCAACTTAAAAGTGAAACAAAAGAAGAATCTTAAAATGGCTACCCATCCTCTTGCCCTGCCTTCAGGGGCGAGCAGTTTACCTTACCACTTACCCTCAGTCGTTCCCCATATGGGCCACCAAATACCGCAGTCTGGCTGGGCACAATTCAGGAGCCACTTGTCAAAAGAAATGAACTTTATTTTTAGAACACACACTCCGCACCACACAGCTCTTCAGGAAAACCCTCAGAGCCCAACTGCCACCACCGGCTTCCTACAAGCCTGTCAACCTCCCCCACCCCTCCTGCTCTTGAGGCCGATTGGTTGGGTCGCATGGGCGGAACCAAAAAAGTCCCCCAATAAACAGCTCCGTGGTCTGAAAGGGCAGGGAAACAGCCCAATGAGCATCACCACAGAGGAGCCAATTCGTTGGCAGCTAGAAGTTTGCTGGGGTCGCTGTGAGCCAATCATCAGCTGGCAGCTGGAAGTTTGCTGGCAGTTGGAAGTTTGCTGGGGCCCCTTCGGCTGTGGCTCTCAACACCCCAGTGACATTTTTTATTCTTGTTAGATATACATGGCAGTACAGTGAATTTTGACATACATATGTGGAGTTTAACTTATTAGGATCCCATTCTTGTGGTTGTACATGATATGGAGTTTCACTAGTCATATGTTCATATGTGAACATAGCAAAGTTATATCCAGTCATTCTAATGTTTTCCACTGATTTTTTAAGATTTTTTGTTTTAAAGTTTGAGATTATGCTGCAAAGGAAGATAGCAGCAGTTGTCCCAGGCCCACTTTCACTTCTGACACCAGCCTCAAGTTTGAGGGTCCCCATGATTACCCTCAGGCTCAGCAGTTCACTAGGACATCTCAGTTCACTGAAAGCTGTTCCACTCTTGACTGTGGCTTCTAAGAGAAATAGGGTACATGTCAAAATCAGCCACAAGAGGAGGTACATGGGGCAGAGTCCAGGAAAGTGTTAAGCACAGAGCTTCCAGTTATCTTCTCCAGTGGAGCTACAGGTAGAACGGTACTCCCCTTAGTGGTATGGAGCATTATGTGCAAGGGAGCTCACTTGTGTCTTGGTGTCCAGAGTTTTTGTTGGGATTTAGTCACATAGACGTGGTTAATTGCCACATGGCTGACCTTAGTCTCCCGGTTCTCTGGAGGTTGAGCTATTACCATGAGGCCCAGAAGCCCCCATGATAAGTTACAGTGTTAGACTATCTAGCATGGCCCAAGGCCTCCCAGGTAAACAGAGATACTTACTATGGGGGACATCCCAAGTGCTAAGAAAGCATTCTCCAGGAGCCAAGGACACAATGTAGCCCTCCCTCTGGAGAAGACTAATGGTATAGTGCATGCCACTGCACACACACTGACACAAGCTCCAAGAGAGTAGGGTCTAAGGTGCTCTGTGCTTTCTGATAGCTTTAGAAACATTTTAACAATAAGCCCTAGAGTAAAATTAAACTCATTCATCCGGTCTGACTTCCTGACTGAACCGAAAGATAATATGCTTACTGTACAAATAAGTGCTAAGTGACTTGACCAATGTCAGGCAGCTGGCAAACAATGGGACGCTTTCAACCACAGACTCTTCTTGACCCTAGCGCTCCAGATAGGGCTCCTCTTCCAAGGTGTGTTCTCACCTTGACCAAGTCAATAGTGAGGCTGGGGAACAATTAGTATTTATTACTTTGTCTAGACTTAATACTTCTCTTGAGGGAAAATTAAACAGAAATTAATTTGCAGGGATTCTCATGAGTTATCCCTATCACGTTTGAAAACCAGTTTTTCATTACAACATTAACATGGATGAATTTCTAGGTTGATGGGCAAAAGAAAGATCATTTTGTTTTTACTGTTTTAGGTCAGAATAGCAAYGTTGGAAAGTTAAAAACACTCTCTGGGGCTCTGGATATCATGGTGAGGACTGAGCATGCATTCCAGCTCATCCGGAAGGAGCTTGTAGAGGAATTTGACCAGGTAATGAAGAAAATCACCATTTTTATGTGTCTTATGCAAAATGGTGAATGTATATATGATCATATGGCATTCTTATAAATGTGTCTGTACACACCTACATGTGTGTGTACATATATGCTCTGCATGAAAACATTTTAAGAGTGGTTTGTGCATGTCATAGTCTGTCTTGTATTGCTATAACAAAGTCCTGGAGGCTGGGTAACTTACAAAGAAGTATTTGTGGTTCACAGTTCTGGTAGCAGAGGGTCCAGACAGCATGGCACCTTTGCCCTAGCAAGGCCCCCCTGGCTGTGTCACAACATGTTGGAGAGCCAGAAAAGGAACTCAACCTGTACTGAAGGGGCCAAGGCACAAGGTGGCTGCTTTCTAGTAGCCTGCTCTTGTGAGAACTAAGCCTATTCCAGGACACCTGACCCACTTCTGAGAGAAGGCATTAATCCCTTTGTAAGGGTGGAACCCACATGACCTAGTTGCCTCCCACTGGAGGCACCTGTTAAAGCCTTGCCAGCTCAGCACCACCACCTGGAGACCAAGCCACTCCAAGGGTGAACCATAGAGGTTATGTCTTCAGGGTAGAACTAAAAATTTTGAATCAGTTGCAAGTATATCTTTTATGTATTAAAAGTTTTTTAAGAATATGCTGTATTGATTAGCAAGTTATAAAGGCTCTTCAGCTTTTCTGTTTGGGGTTTATTTTGGTTTTGTTCTTTAAGAGAAAGAAAAAGCCTGAGCTTCTTTTCATAATTTCTACTATACTTCCTGGAACTTTTGAATGGTGAATGGCTTAAACAGGCTCCAGGGGAAGGAATTTCTAGTTTTCTGGTCAATCTAGAACTCAAGCTGCCCAGAGAGTCCTGGGTGGTGTCCTTTCTGCCATGTTCCTGCAGGGAGTGATGCTGGGGAGTCAGGAGCTTGTTGTGCAGGGTTAAGCACTTGGTAGGTGTGGGACACGTTTATTATGTGTTTTCCTGTATCAAAATGATTTCAGGTCTGCTTTTTATTTTGTTTTGGGGTTTAAATTAATGGATAAATGAAACTGCAGTTTTGTCATTTTGATATGAAACTACAGTTGCTGGATAGCTTAGTGAAGTTTCATTTTGTTGTTTTTAGCCTAAGGGTGGTGAGACCAGTCCAGCTGCTGATTCTTCTCCTAGTCTTAACAGAGAAGAAGTGATCAAACTCCTCAGTATATTTGAATCTCGATTGTCCTTCCTCCTCCTCCAGTCCATCAAACTGCTGTCTTCAACTAAAAAGAAAACAAGGTGAATTCCATGGTTATTTGTGAAAACTTTTTTCTCTATGAAAAGAATATGAATAATCTCAACTGACATTGTAAAGAAATAGTTGTATCCTTTCTTGTCTTTTGTTTGGAAAATTCAYGATTTAAAGTGGTATTCCTTCTTAACTTCTTCAACTAGGTGAGAAGTGTCTCCATCTGGCCCACTACATGTCAGTTATATAGCTGGAAAAGTCTTGCTGCCTAGGGGTAGATACCCTATGGTGATCTGTTCCATTGAAAGGATGAATGGCCGTGAGCTGAAGACTCTAGATACTCCAGATAATACTTCTAAATGTCATCTTTAGTGAGAAGTCCGGGCTGTAGTTGGCTACTCTGGGTGAATTGTACCATAAAAGGAAATGGCAATGGTGTAGGCCTGTAATCCTGGCAACTTGGGAGGCTGAGACAGGAGAAGCACAAATTTGAGACCAGCCTCAGCAATTTAGCAAAACTTAAGCAACTTACCAATACTCTGTCTCAAAATAAAAAACTAAAAGGGCTGGAGATGTGCCCCTGGATTCAATCCCCAGTAGCCTCTTGCCAAAAAAGAAAAAAAAAATGGGAGAACACTGCAGGCCCTCTAAAGCCAGGAAATTGGGAGAAAAAACGGAGTGAACACCTTGGCCAACATGTTCCCAGGTCCCTCTGTCATCTTGTGCAGTACATGGGTTTGCCCGAGCTTTAATTATGACAGTATTGACTTAATTTGAAATTGCAGTAAATCAGAAAGATAGTGGGAATAGTATACCTTTCTTCTTAAAAATATAAGTGCAGTCTGGCTTGTATTACAAAAATTGGAAAATAGAGAAAAGAACTCTCCCATGCATCCATTGTTAGTTATCCTATTTATGTTTACCAACTTATGATATAAGGGTACAGATAATTTTTATCTTTTATTTACAGTGAAATTCTGTGTGGTATACAGTTCTGCAAGGTTTAATGAGTACATAGATGTATGGCAGTCGTATTTGGGTCACAGTACCATTCCTTCACTACAAAACCTATTTCTCTGCTGAAATTATAGGTCTGACCTTGAGCAAGACCACATTTTCATTGGAACCTTAGACATAATTGACCATTGTCATTTGCAGTCCTCTGTGAGCAGTTCCCACCTTGTCATCTGAGTCTGGTTCTATGGCTCCTTCCTCTCTTGCCAGGATGCTGTTGCCACCTTTCCTTTCACAAACTTAATTATTGAAAACCAAACATCTTGTGTCAGTCAGGAGAGACTGGGGGAAATAATTAGTTTGTCTGGAAAGTTCTTATATCTTTGACCTGCTAGGCCATTGGTGAGGAGAATTGAGTTCATTCTGTAGCCTGGAACTGAGCTGTGGTTAGGATTTTTTCTTGTCATGGTTATTATGCATATGCCACAGGCTTAGTTCTAGCAATGTAATAGTCCCCTGTTAGCTGTAGTTCCCCTCACTGAGATTTGTTTACCCACGTTCAGCTGTGGTGCCAAAATACTAAATGGAAAATTTAAGAAGCAAGTCTTTGCACAGCATTCTGAGTAGCATGATGAACTTTCGTACTGTCCCATCAGGACGTGAGCTGTCCTGTGCCCAGAGTGTGCATGTGTGTGCACTTCCACCCACTGATCATTAGCAGCCTCCAGTCATGAGTTTCTCTGTTGCAGTGGCTATGCTTACGTTTCAGTCACTTAGATTACATAGTAATGACTCAAAGCTCAACAGTAGCTGTGGTGGCAACTCAAGATACAAAGAAAAGTCTAAGGTGAAAAGGTGATAGTTCTTGACTTAAGAAAAAGTAGGTCTAGGTCGAGGCGGCTGAGGTCTGTGCTCTTTCTGTGCCTAATTTATAATATACACAGGTGTGTATATATAGGAGCAAACCTGGCATATGTGGGGTCAGTACTGTATATACTTTCAGGCATCTACTGGGGGGGTCTTGAAAAGTATCCCTAGATAAGGGGAAATGACTGTACCTGGCATTTAGAGTGGGGCAGGTCTGCAGGGGTGGTTCTCAGTGTCTGTTCCACTTGGAGCGATAGATCATCCCTGCATGCTGCACCTGGCAGAATACCTCTCTACACTGTCACGGCCTTGCCAGCTATATTCCACTGACACTTGTCCTTTGGTGCTTGTTAGTCGGTTTGGTAAAGGAGGGACCAGTTGGCCAGACCTCTTAGTAGTTTGGGGTGCACCTCAGTCTTGGCAGACTTGTTGCATTTGAATCATTCTCTGTAGCCTGAGGAGCGCTCTTCTCTGGGGAAGTCTCAGTGTAGAGTATACTGCCATCTCACTCAGCCCTGTGGGTGATCTTCAGTGTCTGCCACAGCAGGTCCTGGTATACAGTAGGGTGTGCTGATGTGTTCAGTGAAGTTGGCAGATAAATCCATCCTTTTGAAGAATCAGAAAGGAAAGTAGATAGTGCATGTAGTGACACACAGTTGATAAAGTGATTGTGGCTTTTCTAGCTTGACAACAATAGGTAACTTTAAAATGTTTACTAGTTTTCACAAGATGGCAATATAAATATATGATATGTGAGAAACAATAATTCATTGATTTGCACAAATTGATGACAGGTAATAGTTTCAGTCTTATGATAGTGTTATAACAGTCCTGTGCATGATCTAAATAATTTTTATCTTAGTGGAGGGTTTCCTAACCTGTTTGTTCAAGTTATTAATATTCTGTTGAAGACAGTTTATAATTTAGAGTTTCATGCATGATACATAAAGTAATTAGAAAATTTGGGATTTTTTTTTTTTTTCAGATTTATTAAAGACTGTTAAATGTTGTTACAGCAAAGCTGAGTACGGTGGCACACACCTGTAGTCCCAGCCGTTAGGAGGCTGAGGCAGGAGGATTTCGAGTTCAAAACCTGCCTCAGCAAAAGTGAGGCGCTAAGCAACTCAGTGAGACCCTGTCTCTAAATAAAATACAAAATAGGGCTGGGGATGTGGTTTAGTGGTCGAGTGCCCCGAGTTCAATCTCTGTACTGAAAAAAAAAAATGTAATTACAACAAATATATCGAAGGGTTAGAAATAGAACTTTATTAGTCATTAAGTCAGTGCCTCTTTCTGTCTCACTTCACTAACAGACAAGTAAAACCTCTGATTCTGTGTGAAGAGGCCTCCTGCACAGGCCTTGTTATTCCACAAAGCAGTGTGGATCCCCTCGTAGATGAAAGGGAAATAAGAATGAGACCTTAAAAGAAAGGGAACATTAATTTGTTTCATTTTGACTGCTATTCCTCTCCAGCCCCCTAAGGGAAGAAATAAAAATAAAAAGCAAATTGGACATAATAATAAGAAATCCCAATTTTCTTAAATTGCTACAGAATTACAAATTAAGATGCATTTAATTTGTTCAAGAATTTTTATTTTCAGCTCATGAAGGTACTTCATCATGTGTCAACTGTGTTGGCATTGTCCTGCTAGAATAATAGTTCATTAGGTTGTGGGGGGTCTGATTTGTTGTTTTTCTTTTTGGATTAAGAATTTATTTGCTCTTATACTGTACTTTTATATTCATTGCTTTAGAGAAAGAGACCTCTTGACATTTTGGTGGCTTTGGGGTTTAATTTAATGAAAAAAAAAAAAAACATGAAAAAGTAGAAAGTAATCTCTGCCAATGACACCTGAAGAGAATGGATTCAGGAAGGGCATGATTTATAGAAACTAAGAGATGAAGATTTAAGATGTAGAAGTACCATGTGAAGAAATCAAGGGTTTAGAATTTGATCCCAGTGACCATCAGTTATCTTTAGGCACCCAGCTAAAGTAACCAAATGATGTTATTGTCCTCAAAAAATAATTTATATTTCAAATGCCTTTTCTTATTGTTAAATGCTATTGCCTGATTACTGTCAAAAATAATGTGCATTTCCTATAAGGTTATCAGGAGTTCTGATTAGTAATACTCCCCCCTCCAAAAAAAATAAATAAATAACTAAAACACAGCCAGTCTTAAGTCCAAGCACAGACAGTGAATGAATYGTGACTGGTATGCTGTGGCAGGTTTGGGGGAAGAAAGACTTTCCTAATACAAAGAAGTGGGAATTGGAAGGGAGGAATTATCTTCTACAGGGGGTAGCCAGGCTGCAGAAGAGGGATGAATGGAGCCTGGAACCTAGGAAAGAGGGGAACCTGACAGCCAGGCTTGGTGGGGACGGCACTTTAGCACCCAGGTGCTCTCTTTGGCGGGCCCAGAGGTCTCTTGGGCAAGGGGAGAGAATTTGCACACTAGGAAGGAGAAAGAACACAGCATTAGAAATTGGGAAACGAGCCCTGCATGGTGGCACATGCCTGTAATCCCAGCAGCTTGGGAGGCGGAGGCAGGAGAATTGGGAGTTCAAAGCCAGCCTCAGCAACTTAGCAAGGTCCTAAGCAACCTAGTGAGACCTGTCTCAAAAGACAAAAAGGGCTGGCAATGTCACTCGGTGGTTAAGCACCTCTAGGTTCCATCCCTGGTACCAAGGGGGAAAAAAGGTGGGAAACATGACGTTTTGACCCTGATCCAAATTGTCAACTTTTGGGGGCCTTATCTTTTACGGTAAAATCAAATCAGTCCTTGCTTTGCAAGGGGCAATGTTGTCCTGTGGAGGTGTGTCACATTTTGCTAGGAGCCGTGAAACTGCTGGCTTGTGAGCTGGGTCTCTTATACATGTAGATGCATTAAAAGGAGGGTGGCTAGAATTGAACTGCCATGTAATTACTAGTCTTGCATCTCATACATTAATCCATTATAAGGGGTAAATATTTTCAGAACCAATTAAACTTTTACAGTGGAGTGGTATAATATGTACCTCAGTGGAGAAGCATCTTCACCAGAAGGTGCACCAGTGTCCTTAGACAGCATGGAGGTGCTGCCATCCTGTGACTCTGCTTGATGTCCTAGGTGGCTCCAATGCAAGAGCTGGCATTCTGCAGTTGGTTCAGAGTAGAGGAGACAGGAGTGGTGGCACAGGCCCATGATCCCAACTGCTCAGGAGGTTGAAGTGGGAGGATCATGAGTTTGAGGCCAGCCTGAGCATTTTAGGAAGCCTCTGATTTAGAACAAAAGGGCTGAAGGTACAATTCAGTGGTCGACTGTGTGTGAGGCCCTAGGTTCAGTCTCCAATACTGAAAAAAAAAAAAAAAAAAATACAGAGTAGAGGAAAGCCATCTGGCTTCCCAGTGCCCTCAACCATATCAACTCTGTTTCTTTTAGGGGATGTGACAGACGTCTGCCACTGTCTGTTTTGTTTTCTTCTGGTGCTGGAGGTTGAACTCAGGTCCTGGGGCATGCTAGGCATGCACTCCACCTCTGAGCTGCATCCCCAGCATAGTTGTCCACTGTACATCTTCTCCCAGTGTCCCACCACCACCCCTCACACAAAACAGGGACTTTTGTCCATTTGGTTCACTACCAAGAGCAGTTCCTGGCAGAGGACGTGAACAGATAAAAGGCTTTAACTCAGTTTTAGTTGATGTATTGACATGAGTGTCAAGACAGGTCTAGGAACAGAAGATAGACGGTAGGTATGGGGAGGCACTGGGAGACCTGCTTCTCTGTGTAGCACCACTGCTGTGCTGTTACTGTTTCCAGATCCCTTTACTGTGCCCTTCACCTGTTGTTCTTTTTTTTTTGGCGGGGGGACCCCAGCAATAACATTGAAGAAGATGGACTTCTCAAATCCAACAAGCAAATTTACTCCCAGCTTCTGAGAGCTACTGCAAACAAAAGTGCAAGTCTTTTGGAAAGAATTGATGTCATCATCCATTTGCTGGGGCAGCTTGCTCATGGGGGCAGCGGAGTAAGCAGCGGCGCCGTTCAGTGACCTCGCGCAGAGCTGCGTCTGCAGACGCGCTGACAGTGCCTTCTGACCACAGGAGTGGCTTTGTCCATTCGGTGCTGAGTTTCATTAAATGTGAGGAAATACCCATTTGAAACAGGCATGCACTTATTTCTCATGACAGACAGACAATGGCGGAGTTCTTTGGCTTCTTCGTTTGAAGTGCTAAAGCCAGAACTGAACTGAAAGCTTCAGCTTTTATTTCTATGAGACGTACATGGTACCTCAATATTAATAGACTTTCTGTTATGCAATTATACTTTCAGCTATTTTTGAAGTATCTTGGATAACAAAGGTTTAAGATATTATTTTGGGTAAAATGTTGCTTCCACCAAGAGAACCTTTTATCCAAATGATATTACAGGTTCAAATGGGTTAAAGAAACTTCCTATAAATCTACAATATTTCCTTCCAAATTGCACAAGAGCGTCCCCTTTGTGAATTTCAGTGCAGGAGTTTTGAAGACTAGCCATTGTGCACTACTCTGTATTTAATGCATGTTTTGAAGGGATTCACTTTTCTTCAGTTGATCAGGAATAGTATTATTTCCCCTCCCCTCCTTTTTCATTTAAACTTGAAACTGTGAATAAGGTAAAAAACAAAACAAAACTATTTTGAATAAACTATTTATTTAAAATATCTTATTTTCCATTTTTTCATTCCTCACATTAAATTGTGATTTGAACTCAGTTTAATAATTACAAAATAAAGATTATAACGTTAAAAGTAAAACTTTGCCATCCAGTCAGTTTTCACTGGAATATTTCACTTACTCCTTGCTGTGTGTGGGTCTTGTCTGATTGCATACATACACTTCCCCCCCACCCAAAGCCTCCAGTGTATACAAGGCTGTACTTGTCCCTTATGATCAATACTCAATTTCAAGAAATGTTGTAACGTGGGAGTCGGATTCTTTCATGTGTGGTGAGAGTCTGGGCCCCTGTGCCACTGACTGTGGTTATGACAAGCCTGCTGGCTGGGTTCAGTGGCAGGAATGGATGTAACCTGCCCCTTCAGGCCCAGGGATGGTTGGTTTCATTGTGCAGATCCTCTGTGTTGACCAGCAGCCCCTCCACACCAACCCCACCTGAAAGAATCCAAGCTCCACCACAAAGTTGTCTGGAGTAAACTGGTTTCAAGCTGAATTTTCGCAAACTGCTTGTTCCTTACATAGAGAATCCTGAGTGTTTTCATGGAAAATGAATTGACACCTATCAGCTTGGTAGAACTCTTTTGCCATTTGTCTAGTTCTTTGACTTACATCATTCTTGGGACAGATTTGCATCAGTTTACAAAAGTTAGTCATTGAAGCATTTAAAGTTTTGCCTAAGTGGTTAAAGCATTTGCTCCAAATCAGCAGTGTCTCCTTCTGGCAGGGCTTCATTCTCTTTCCCTGGCAGCCAGAGTCCACACAGAACAGTGCTGTTTCCCTCTGCTCTTTAGCCCGGGGCACCTCCAGTGGTTATACCGCCCTCTGGGTTCATGGATTCAAAAAGGATTTTCCTTCTTGGGTAGAACGAGCTGGAGTTAGGGATGTTAGGGTTACTTTTCTTGTCTCCTATCCTTTCCCCTTAGCTAAACAGACTTTTAGTTGAGAGGAAAATTGTTTTTAAGCAAGAAAATATAAATTCTATCTTCTTTTGTCAAAACAATGACATGAAGATTTCTACAGAGGGAATAAAAAATTCCTTTTTAAATATATTTGTAATTTGCTGCTTTTTTTTTTTAAAGCTTCTTACAGTGCCTGTGTTTCAAATGTTCCATTAGGAGAAATGTGGTTATTTGTGTCCTGGTCACTGAGGCTACTGCATCTTTCAGTTAATTTTATTGCCAAATTTTGCCCACATCATTACATATGGGATTATGGTTTTCTTCCTTTTTTTTTTTTTTTTTTTTTTCTTTTCCCTGTGTGTGTGGTATGTGTTAAGAATTAACAGCCAGGGCTGGAGATATGTGGCTCACTGACAAGAGTTCATGCCCAACATGCATGAGGTCTGGGTTCCATCTCCAGTACCACCAAAAAATATCATATTAAGCATATTAAACTTGAAGGAACATCATGCCTGTCCTAAATATAACTGATATGGAGAAAATAAAACTATCCAACTAGCTCCCAGAGCTCTATTTTGGTGGTCTGACTATCACACAAGTGTTTGTTGCTCTGCAGGGAAAGTAGAACACCAAATGAATTTCAGCAAGACCAAAGCTCCTCTGTTCAGGACCAATGAGATGCAGGCCTATGTGTGCAAACAGCACAGCTGGCGTCAGGGCCAGAGGCCATCACAGGTTTAAGAAGTATATATATATATATATGGTTTTTTTGTTACTGGGGATTGAACCCAGGGGTGCTTAGCCACTAAGCCACATCGTCAGCCCCTTTTTATATTTTTATTTTGAGACAGGGTCTCACTAAGTTGCTGAAGCTGGCTTTGAACTCGAGATCCTCCTGCCTCAGCCTCCTGAGCTGCTGGGATTACAGGCATGTACCACTGCACCTGGTACTTAATTTAAATTCTGTGGCTTTTCCCATCACATTGTTTTAAGTGCAGTAAACATACACCATGGCATTGGCAGCCTCCCCGGTCCCCTTGCAGCAGGGCTGGGTGCAGTGTTGGGGTGCAGCTGCAGAGTTCCACGCAGAACCGAAAGCAAATGTGAGGCTGCTTCAGGGTGCTTGTTTGTGTGTGGGGGGGAGATTTTCTGAAAAGTTAATAAACTTATTTGGCAATTGATTGGTTTTGCCTGAGCAATTCATCTTAAAACCAAATATTTTAAAAGTTTAAGCAAGTTTTTTTTTTTTTTCCCATTGATTTTTAACTTGGGGAGCTATATTCACTTCTTTGTAAAAGAAGTCAGACTTTTTCTCTTGGAAAAAAAAATCTTACCCTGTTTGAGTTTTCCTGTTTTTCTCATTACATGTCCAGTGTGGAGGTGTGGACATCACAAACATCAAACCACTTCTCTGAAATAGACCTTTTTGGAAATACACCATTAGAAGGAAGCCAGGAATTCTGTTGTTTGTCTTTGTCATTAACTACTTTCCAATAGGCATTGCCTTTGAAAAAGAAAATGGAGCCATGTGCATAGGAATAGTAAGCTGAATCTATATTTCTAAAGGGATGGTTGTGTGGTCTTATTGCTGGAAAAACTTCCGTAATCTTCTTTGGATAAGAATTCAGTACTTGGTTTCTGTTGACATCAAATGCAAATACCTGCAAACAAATTAGAGAGTAAGACTGTTCTGAAGTTCATTGATATTTAGGTTAACTTCAGCAGTGAGTTAATTACATCCAACTGTGCACTGAGTTCTTTAGACCTGAAATTCTAAATAGTTCTCCACCTAATGATCTGCCACTGCTGTTAGACCTGAAGCAAGGAGAACAGCTTTCAACTGAGAATTCTGTTCATTCGACACATCTCGGACGGGAGTACAGAAGCAGTGCTACTTACAAAGGACACCTTGAAGAAGTAAATTAGCTGTTGCCTTCTGTCATAAAAGGCAGTGTCCAGGGGACTGGGGATGCCAGGAAACCCTTCTGAAATCAGTTTGGGGTAGCTTCTTCCTTCTTCATCTGTGTGGGCCTGGTCCTTGTCACTGTCATATCTCCAGTATTGATTTCCTGAGTGTCAACCAAAAATACGAATATGGCTTTTAAATCACAGGAAACCTGATGGACAGCCTCCTATTCTGCATATGCTCTGCCGGATTCCAAGAGAGAGCTGGGCTCGTGGCACCTACTGAAGTCTCAGAGGTTTTCCCAGGTTTTGGATGACTTCTCAATTTGACCCCAATAACATTTTCTGTACTTGACACTGCTGCAACTAGATTGTTGATGGTGTCTCACAGAGAGCCCTGATCTATTCACATCGTCCTGTTGGCTCTCAAAAATGACAAAAATGTGGTCTCTTTCACCTGAGCATCTTGATTTTTTTTCCTCTTTCATGGTCTAACAATGTGGCCCACATGTTGGCCAGAATCACTTTCCTACTCTAATTGATACAAGGTCTCTTGACAGAAGAAATCCCAATGCTTATTCCTGGGTTATACCTTATCCAGTGTTTTTTAACCATCTGTCTCTCCATCCCCATTTTGCAAATAAGGAAACTGGAGTAGAGCCTCAAAGTGACTTGTGCAAATTCAGCGTCCACCCAGACCCACTATCCTGAGAAATAATATACTCTGGTTAATTTTGTTTTAACATTCAAATGCTAATTTAATGCCCTGAAACAGGAGAGGATTATTCTAGGCTTTCCTTTTTAGTTCATAAAGATATGACCTGTTGTCAGCACACAATAGAATAAATAAATCTGCTGAGTTAGACACTTCTGTTTGCACAACTCATGGCGTACTCAAGTAGTGACATCCCTTAGCAACCACACACGCACTACAATTGGCACTGAGATGTCCCAGTGGAGCAGCAATTCACTCTAACTGGTATTTTTTTTAAATTTAAAATATTTACAGCAAATTAAAGATGTTTTTAAAGCAGTCCCCCATCATGACCTAATTCTGTACCGACTCCTTGTTGCCAATGTAAGTTCTTTAAAGCATTGAAAAAATCTCGTGTGATATGAAGGGAACTAAAGAGCAAATCTAGACATTGGATCCTGATAATAAAGTTTGCAAATGATGTTCTCACAGTTTAGCTCTTGCTTTGTTAACTCTGAGCAGTTTAAAGCAGCATAGTTTGGATCACTTGAGATTCAAGTTCAAGAGGTACACACAACCTTCCTTCAAAGGAAAGAGCAGGAGCCACAACATTGCAGCCCACTGGGTTTGCGAAGCAGCGTGTCTGCATGAGCTGGGTGTGGAGATGCTGGACAGGGTGGCTTGTGAATAAGGAGAACAGCAGCAAGACAGCCCCAACCTGCTCTTCACATGGTCACCCCACCCTGGCCGAATCACCTCCTGCAAAACACTGCTCTTCCCTGTTCAGAAATTGATTCCTTGCTACCCGCTGGATGAAGTCCAGACCCTGGTTACTCCATTTGAGGCTCTCCAAGGTCGGACCACCAGTCTTCTCAGAATCTCATCCTATGTGGGTCCCCTGTCCCCCTTCAATGGAGTCCACAGATGAGCCTTTTCCATTCCCCACTCCTGCTGCTTGTCTCTGGCCACTGCACACACCCACACTGCAGTCTGGGTGCCCTCCTCTAGGCATTCTGGATCTCTCCCATCCTTAGTCCAGGGCAAGTCCTGACTTTTGGAATACTAGCATGGATTCCAGGTGGCAGTGGTCACCTCCCTGCTCGGCCTGCCCCCTGGAATTATGCCTGTGTTGCTAGCCTTCCAGGGCATCCTTTTTCCTCCAGAACCAGGTAACAGTGCTTTGTCAAACACTTCAAGTGTCTAGCAAAGTTCTTTACACATCCATTCAATGATGTTAAGTGCCTTCTTGTAAAAGATCAGGGACAGACCCAACCCCTGTTCCCACAAAGCTCGAAGTCCAATGGGGCAGACTGGAATCAAGCAAGTAATTACCAGAGCATTACAATAGATTCCATGGTAGGGACTTGGAACATTTATTCTGAATGCATTTCTCTTATAAAGAGAAATGGTGAGGGCTGGGGTTGTGGCTCAGTGGTAGAATGCTTGCCTAACATGTGAAGCACCAGGTTCGATTCTCAGCACTGCATAT